TGGACACGTGGACGAGAGCGAAGTAGTCTTTACCTTTGACGATACCGGTACCGTACCCTCAAAAAACCTCCGATTTTACAGTCGCAACAATTTTCGCAGTCAACCGTCACGCTTGACGGATTAAAAACCGTGTTCCCATAATTAAAAAGAAATACAGTGCGATTCTGGATGAAATATTAGATCTCATTAGATTCATAGAAAATTTAGGAATAAATAAAAGTAATAGCCTTCTGGCAAAAAAAATCAATCTTTAACCACTGAAACTTTCAAAGCAATTGGTCCAGTATTCGAAGAGAAAAGCGATTTTAAAATGATGAAGACGAAAATTAACAAGAACAACAACAAAATATTAAAACGATCGTTATGTCCACTATACGTTTCCAATAAGCCAAGCTCGAATAAAATAAGTCCATATGAAACAAACACGTGTTTATATGCGATGCCTGTTTCGTTACACGATTTGGCCATTTCATTTATTTTCCTCTCCCGAAGCGAAAATCCTGTCATTTTAGTATAATTAGCAACAAATATAAACATGAAAGTATGGTAATGTTAAAAAAATGAACTGATGGTCCCCACCTGTCCCGCAGCTATTTATGCTTTTTGATTTTGACTTACAGCTGTATCTTTCTGATCTGCCCACAGAAACTTCATTTGAAAGGGTTGGAATAGCCGGTGCCAACTCTCCTTATCTGGCGTTTTGTTTCGCTTGTCGATTTGGTTTCCTTTTTTTTTTTTTTTTTTGCCAAATAGAATTCCAGTGCCAATATGAAATTCAATTCTTTATAAAATTTTTGTCCAAATGAAAGTGAATTAATATTATTTATGTGTATTTCCAATTTTGGTTACAGTAATTGATATCGGAATACAATCGCATGGTTTGAATTCCGTTTACATGAAGAAAATTCATTTTACAATTTAAATATACAATACCCATACATTTACATTCACATATTCAATATCAGCAATTCATTGTTTGTAGTTCCAATTGATTTAGTTGATTGTTGTCCCAATTGTCATCATCGTGAACGTTATTAAATTTATTTTATATTAGCATGGAAAAGCAAAATTTATAAATATTAGACAGCAAATTTGAACACCTATCATGCTAATAGGATTTTCCTATTTCCTGTCCAAGTAAATGTTAGTATTCAACTCTAACATAAAAAATTATCCATCAGACACCCAAATAAACATATCATATAGAAAATACAACAATTTATGCTATGTAAACCAAATATTTTCATATCATTATAGACTTTATGAGTAGGTTATCCACTATTCCTTCATTGAGAAGATCTTGTCTATCAACATCAGACATTAATTTAATAACGCCCAGAATCTTACATTTTAAAATAGCACGTATATCACATTGCATCTGATATATATTGTCATATTTTACTTTATTCCTATATTCCCATATGGCTGACTTTCCACAATGGGTTATTAACAGTTTAGCATCACTTTGAAAATTATTAGAAATAATTTTCTCCCTATTCCATTCTATGTTACTCCATTCCCAAAAGTCGATTACCCACTCACAATTACAAAATAAGTGCATACGTGTTTCCTCATATCTATTACACAATACACATAATCCATTTTCATTGTTAAACCAATGTTTCAACAAACGATTTGGTTTCCATGCTCGAGTGCTTTTCCTGGTAAACAAATGACGAATTACAGTTGCCAAATGTGACTACACTTGGCAACTATATAAGCAATTACGTTTTCTTTTCGCAGATTATTTTTTCAATACCCTCGTGACCGCATTTTTTCAGTCTTCAGTATCGAGGCGAGTAATAGGGCCATTACTCATTTTTGCTCAATTTTGATACTTTCTTGCTCATATAACTACATTGCAGTCTTGAACTGCTAAATCACATGTCGCTGAACCACGCAGTAGTCCTAAATTGCTGTAATACCGTATTGAAATAAATACCATATAAATCGAAATAAAATGACTCGTTCTTAACTCACCTTCAGGGGGACCTAGGTTAGTGTTTCCGCTTCAGACTCTGATGTTTGCGGTCGACTTGCATCGCGACACGGGTTTAAGAATCTCTACCTGTATACCCAACACTGGCTACTTAACCCTTACCTGGCCATTTCCGCCCCCAATTATATTTTTTGTTTTATTTGTCGACCATTAGGATGTTAAGTAAAAATCATCACATACGCCAGCAAGGCAGTATGACGCAAAAATAGCGAAATTGACAACCACGACAAATATAACGGTACATTCAAAAATAAATAATGATTCCCACCTTTTCAATTATTCCATTCCATTTGAATTCCAGCTGTAGTCACGGGTTCGTTTGCAAACATCTTACAAAAACTTTATTCAAAAGGACGAAACGCCAGGGCACCGGTACCCTTGATCACAGCACTCACGAATCATGTGTTTTGTTGGTATTATGGTTTTCACGCTCGGTTACGCTCAAGTTGATTACGAAACATAATTGCCAACTATCGTCAGATATTTCTCGCTGATTGTTTCCTCGTGTTTTTGTTAGTAATATCAATGAGAGCCCTTTATTGCTTCAATGTGCCTTAGACCAACAATAATACTTGCCTGTCCCTAATATTATATTTATCTAGTGCAGTGGTCGGCAACCTACGGCCCGCGGACCGGATCCGGCCCGCGGAGTACTATAATCCGGCCTGCGACGTCTCACTGAATTATAGTAACAAAACAGGGGTTGACGATTATATTCTATACATAACAAAATTTATTGTAAGATAAGTGTAGACTAAATTATATTATAATCTAACAAGTATAAAATTCACAGTTACTCGTTTATTGAGCAAATAATTTAATTATAATTAGACAAATGGTACGGAAACGCAGAAAAGTTGATTCTAAACGCAAATGGTTCGAATGAGGAAATAAATCTATATTCTATTCGAGAGATGTATCACTGCTTCATTTTTATTATAAAAAAGTATCATCCGTTCGGTTTTCAACTTTCTAGAAATATGTGCGGCCCGTCAATGTCTTGCAACCTTTAATTTTGGCCCGTGACCGACAAAAGGTTGTCGACCCCTGATCTAGTGCTATGGAGTCGAAGTGAGTTCACAATCGACTTTGGGTTAAAAATGGCTCCCGACTTCACCATGATCAAATATTCGTTCCCTACTCCAGATCCGAACTTCCAAAATTTTGAATCAAGCTTTGACGCAAGTCAGAAATCGATTGGGTGCTCCCGTAGTATATGTACCAAGATGACGCACAACCTGAGCATAGTATGTGTACCAGGTTAGGGTTATCAGGTTGTGCGTCATCTGGGTACACATACTACGGGAGCGCCATCGATTGTTCTGTTGAACATTTTGTTTTGAATTGGATTATCAACATTAAAAGTGCAATTTCTGACTTCATTGAGAACATGTCAAACTCCAACCCCACAGGCCTGACAAATAAACCCATACATCTATAAGAACAGATCAGATTGTAACAATATTATTCATATTTATTGCAGGACGTCAGAGAATGCTACATCTTCAAAACTTTCGAGTCCAGCAAGATGGGAGGAACATTCAGAAAATAGGCCTGCGCGAAAAGAATCGCCTTTTCTGTGAGATTTTCAACACCTTCAGTGGGAACAGATACTGGTAGCTGCTGGCCAGTTACGCTTTTCTCCCCCACTGAGTCTATGCATTTGTGACAAATAACTGCCTAACTAATCCCATACCCGACATGGACTGGTAACCGGACGAGAGGTTGTGTGGTACGCTATATTATAAAAGAATAAATATGACATCTTATCCTAACTTTAAGCAGTATTGTACTCTGCACAATACGAGGAACACAAAGAAATAATAATAACTAAAAGACCGAATCGAAATCCATGAACATCTACCATACATCACACAAGCTTGAGACCCGAAAGTTTATCATCCTGTTTTCACTCCTATATATTGACTCATTATCACAATGCTTTCAAGCTTTAAGCCCGGTTTGAGATTATGCCAGCATGTTTGCATTTATATTCATGTATTATCACTATGCTTACAACCTGAAAGCCTGGTTAGACAGTATCTCATCGTGTTTCTCAGTTATATTTGGCGCTCCAGCCAGAAGTGTGTGCACCGATATGGAGGTAACTAACTTTGTTCGTCTACTTTACATTAATTTGTGTAAAGGGACGGAAGCCTGTGAGAAGGGGGTATATTCATTTGGCTAACACAGACAGTCCCCGAACTCGTAACAAAACTAAAACAAGGAAAATCAGAATACAATTATGACCTAACCCCAATCTGGTACACATACTACGGGAGTACCCTTTTGACAACACCTTTTACTTCTATACGCTTTAAACTCTGCATAAGATTTTTTTTGTTAACTATTAAATATTTCATCGTCTGTAATGCTGATGAGCGAGTCAAAATGAAATTAGTTTTGGTAACTTTTCCGAATTTTCGTCCTGCTTATTTGGTCTTGTGTGTTGTACGATTGCGGAGTTTGAAATAAATTATCTTTCTATCTACCTTTTAAATTACAAATTACATATCAAAACAAGCTTTGGTTCCCCCCGAACCCAGTAAAATTGTGTGTTCAGTTTTCATTACTCTCAATTTTGCATGGTATTTTTACTGTCTGAAGAAATAACTTAAAAATGAATATCTGAAACTGACTTCCAAACAATAGTCGTAAATTATGTTCTGCATTTTTATTTAATCAGTATGTTATAATACATGATAAAAGCTTTGATGAAATCATCCGATAACTATATTTTATTGATCTAAAATCTAGTAAAACTGAAATCTCACGAAACTTCAATTCATTTAGTTTTATCTCTTAGAAATTTTTAAAATTCTGTGAAATAATTTCAATAGTATTTTTTTAGTACAACTCTCACTAAAAATCTATATAATCATTGATACTACATAATATAGAAAATGTTGATTGAAACTTACTTAAAATTTATGAATCAAAATCTTTCTTGATTTGCGAAATATATCAATTCGTAAAATTTTAATCTGTTCAAAGTGTTTTAATAAGGTTGTCTATTATTTGCTGAGTTATCAGATTTTTATTTTTTGTGTGTTGAAAATTCAGAATAAAATGTACTGCAATGTCCAAATCGTCATTATTTTATTTTTGATTATCAGATTAGCTTATTTATGGCATCATCATTCCAGGAGGTTGAGGTTGATCAACCGGTTGAGCAGCCATAATCTCAGGTCCTGGCATAGGGGCGTCTACAATAACAGGAGGTGGTGCCAGAATCCCGATTCCTCCAAGATCCACTGGAGGGCCCATATTTTTCTCTCCGTTTGGCTCATCACAGCTAGTACGGAGTTGACCACTTCTACTCTTTAAATCAGATGCTCCATATGATCTTGTAAAACAGTGCCGGATCGACATAGGTACCACATGATGGACACGGGATTTTCTGAGCATGGGGTTCGATGAGGACATAACTGGGTCATAATAATTGTAGAGCTCCATTATCTGCTCGTCAGTCAAAGGTTTGGACCACATGTCCAAAGATGAAACAAGTCCCTTCCAGTTACCTGTAATGGAAAAGTAAACTGTTTAATTTCCATTTTAAATGGTTTTTAAATTATTCCTCATCATTTAATTATATTAAGTTTTTTTTTGTCTAAAATTCTAAATTTTGTCATGTTTAACAAAGAACATTTAGAAATCGATGTATATTCAATGTAACTATCAGTAGGGCTTATGCGAGACTAACTCCCAATCCTTCCTCAATGCCTTTGCGCTGGTGAATCCGTATGCATATATTACAAGGATGCTGTAGCAGGAATAAAAATCCCATACTATGCAATTCAAAAGTCCTGCTGCATACTAATACAAATGTATTTCTGTAATGTTTCGTCTGACGTTCATTCACTGTTTGGTCGCAATTAATGTTAGAATTTAATTTCAAACAAATTTATTTATCGCCGTATTCAAACCGCCAGATTGCTCTTCTCTTGTCGTTTCTGTAAACTGCTTGTCTGAGGAAGTCTGATTTTAATCGGACAAAACGTTACAGAAATAAACTTGTGTTAGTATGCAGCAGGACTCTATTAAATTGCATAGTATATTCAATGAGTTTGAAAAATTTAAGGGTGCTCCTGAAGTATGCGAACCAAGATGGCGGACATCGGAACGTAACATGGGTAACAGGCTAGGGTTAGGCGATAATTTTTTTCCAATTTTCCTTATTTTAGTCCTATTATCAGTTCGAAGACTAGCCAAGAGCCTCCCGTAGTATTTATACCTAAAATCATGGCCTAACCCTAACCTAGTAGACATATTACATTCCGATGTCCGCCATCTTGGTTCGCATACTTCGGGAGCCCCAATTTAAGTAAACAAGAAGAACAGGAACGACTTTAAACGCCGGGCCATCACGCCCACAAAAAAATAAATCGAACCTCTATTTCTCCCTCCTCCAATGTGAGATCGTCCTATCTTGAGTGTGATATCAGATATCATCGGTTGGTTAGTTCGCTCACTGTGATGAGAAAACAATTGACACTTATGATGAGGCTATATAAATCTGAGTTACTTAACCAGGGGTTCGGGAACTATTTTTAGGGATATCAAAAGGTTGAATCAATGAGTTGGTTTAAAAAATACATTGTCAATGCTTATGTATTATTTGCTTATTATTTGCTAATGCAATACTAATTTGATTCAATATTTAGGTGCATCTGAATTAAATAACTGGCTAACTAATTCCATACCCGGCACATGATTAAGTCGTCTTATCAGCGTACCCCACATCGGGTTAAATATGTAAATCCTATCCTAGCGTCAGATAGAAGAAATTAAAAATAAAACTTTGGATTTGCTATTTATACATGAGGATAATATTATTTTTCACAAACTACTGACATACATAAATTTATTTGAAGAAAATTACTAAATTTCATGTTTGTAAAATTTTGCACAATTTTTGACTCTAGTGTGAAATTGGGTAAATTCAGAAAAAAGGGACGCAAACTCAATAATGAGACTGCTTAATAATTATATTGCAAACTACAGCCTCACTTTATGCGAAGCATTTTGTGATACGCCAACAGTTAGACAAAGTTTTTTGGAATCGTCTCCTAAATTTTTTGTCAAACTTCCTAATCGCTTATCAACTACTTACTTCCTAGTGGTCTTTCCCATCTTGATTCCATTGATAAACAAATCGGCACTCTTTTCTCCATTCAATCTTGCCGTTATCAATGTCCATTCGTTTAGTGGGATATCGTAAGTATAGATGGATCGGACCATGTACTCATATCCATTAAGCCTTATCTTGAGCCAATATTGATCAACTCTGAAAAGATATAACAAGATAAAGATTAGATAAGGGAGTAATTCAGATATTGCACTTATATTCTCAACATAGCACTGATAATCATTTACTATTATGAAGGAGGCTACCGATGCTGTGTTGTAGTGCAATCGCGAGTGTGTTGGGTGAGCGAACACGTATCACTTTTGACAACATTTTTTAATCTAAAATCTGTATGTTTTAAACCTTACTTAGAGTTTTGTTTGCTTTCCCGATTCTGAAATCAGTTTTATTAATTTTGTTTCCATCATGTATTTTATCGTCTTTTATGCTGATTATGGAGTCAAAATAAACTTCTTATTCTTAGATATGGTGATTAAATGTGTCTAGACCCCTATTTGCGAGGTTATAGGTCATCCGTGCCTCGAGTCATGTCCGAAGTTGAGCTAATGACTGAGTTACGTCTCACTGGCTGTTAGTCGATAATGATCCAAGTCATCTCAATAAAATCACTTCGAATCTTCAACGAATGAGTTCAACTCAAGTTGTATCAGTGACTTGAGTCTCCTAAACACTGCTTTCTAAAGCTTAGTAAGACAAAGGGAGTCGGTCCCAACCAGGGGTGTGCAAGAAGCGGTCCGTAGGCTTCAACCTGCCCTGTCAAGTCTTCAGTCCCTTGTCAACACTAAGATATTTTCCCATCAAGTATAAAATTGTAATCCGACAGTTTATGTTTGAATAGCCGTTCACATGAATGAAAATATATAATGTTTTTTGTTCTTGTTACTGCGTAAAATCTTGCTCCTACCGTTTTGCCCGGTATTTATTACTGTAAGGCCTTGCTTTTCCCGCTAAAATTTTTGTGTGGGCCAGCTAGATGTCTGAAGTTTCTTGAATGGCCCAATGACAAAAAATGTTGCACAGTCCCGGTCTAAACCAAATACAAAACCCAAATTCTATGAAATCAAGAGATATAGCAGTAGAATATGAATTACCTTGGTCGTTTTGCAAATATAACAGTTGGCTTCGTTCCTTTTCGTCCTGCAAATGAGTATACAACATAAAATTTCGGCTTGTTGAGCTCAGTTGGATAAACTAAGATTGAAATAGTAAATCCTTCGCTGCCAGAAAGCATTTTTTCAAAATAGTCTGTCTTTCCACATTCAATGTACTGGTTGACTCCATTGAAAAGAGTTCCTGAAAAAGATTTGGTTTGATGAATAGTATTTCAGAAGAGGAAAACAGATAAGACGACTTCATATTGTAAATGATGATTTATTGTTTGTTAGAAGTTTGGGATACCTTATACAAAACAGCTAACAAGTTTAACCAACATAACTTTTCCAGAACGAAGGAGAGTGGAGAATTCAATGAAAGCTCTCGATAAACGAGTATTGAATTGAAGAAATCCATTGCTACTGGACCCCACAGATCAAAAAAGTAACCCAAGGTTGGTGGTGTGGCACACCGTACTGAGCGCTAGGAATATGCTCGTCACCGCACCTCTGATTACTCTGCGTGGGTACCACAAAAGTTCAAATCTTGTGTGGATATTTATGTGCGAGAGGAGTGCTAGACTCAGCCATAGGCTGGTTTACAAAAACGCTTGGTTACGGCTTCCTCCACCATCAAATCCATGCATATGAAACAAATAACTAGGGTAACCAGTTTCGCATGGACTGGAACAAAACAAGAGGCTGAGGTTTGCTATATGCGTCTTATCAGCTTCTGGGAAATTCCTTCCTCCATTTTAAGTCTTGCGACCATTGGTATTTATAAGCGTACTTCACCACCATAATTCTATACGATAACACAGGTAAAAATGGCGAACAAACTTACCTGGAAGACCCATATATTTTTGTGAGTTTTCGGCATCATTTGGTGCAGCACATTTTGAATCATTGGGATATTTCATCATCATTTTGTAGATATGGGAACCGGTGTCATAGTAGAGACCATCAATGAAATCTGTAAATAAAATATTTTTCGAGGTTTACATCATTTTTTATTAAACCTTGTATCAAAGCTAAAGAGACTAGTGGAGGATTTCTCAATAGAGCAGGTGGTTACAGCTTTCTCCCACTCATCCATATTCATATATCTGGAATAACAAGACGAGAGATTGCGGTTTATTGCCTTATTAACGTACCTCTACTCGCAAAAATAATGATATTGAAGTCTATGCAATGGCACTCATTATGAGATTGAAAACTCCAATCAATGGGGAAGCTGTCAAGATAGAACAGTCACCAAAATAAAGACTTGGCGGTGCAGCGCATGGTACTAATCGTTACCAAAACATTCTCCATTGCACATCTGATTATCTTGTGTGGGTTAAAAAATTCGAATCCAATGCAGGTTTTTTATACGCAAGAGGATTTCCGAACTACAAATGGCTGTTGGGTGGTTCAGGTAAATGCAGGACTTGAGGTTGTCATGGTTATTTCTGGCAATGTTGGTCATCAGGCTTGCACGACAATAGTATGGGGAAGGCCAGTTTGCGCAATATCAAAAACGCTATTTCGATCACATAAAAATTGAAAGAATTGACTAGAAACGTAACTATGTGAAGAATTTTTATATTTATCCAGGGAGAGAGATGAGTGAGGAAGAAAGGGAGCCAAGGTGAAATGTCTTGTTATTAAGCAAAGTCAGATATAGAAATAGGGGCGCTTCAGAAGTGTGTGTACAAATATGGAAATAACTAATTTTGTTCGCCTACTTTACATCAAGTTGTGTACAGGGACTGACCCCTATGGGCAAGGGGTATATTCACTTGGCTGATACAGACAGTCTCGAACTCGTAATAGAACTAAAATAAGGAAAATCGGAATGAAATTAATTAGTACCTAACCTGGTACACACACTACGGGGTTATCGAAATAGGTAACAAAGTATTCGTGCCAGATACTTGAAAAGTAAATCGCGGATGTAAGTTAGTTATCCAGAAGCAAAGCTTAAGGTTTCTACATTCAAAAACACACAACACACATACCTGGACAAGGGAATTTTATATTTCGACAATATGATTTTCCGATAAATTCTCGAGCAACTGGCTTCGATTTCGGTTTTGCTAAAAAATGAAGAAACAAACATAAAAATGTGGCAACTACAAAAATATTTAAATTATAAAACCACACTGGGAAAGATTTCAGTAACCAGTAGTTTCTTTTTTCACCTTATTGAATATGCACTTCGTTTATGCAGAATGTATAAACTGGCAATTTATTATACTTCAATCTCAGCTTGGTTTTAAACTTGTTTAGGGTATAAATACGACACATTTCCTAAACTGGTGACTCAATAAAAAACTCAAAAATACCATTCCAGTCTGTAAGTACATTTGAAAAATTTGGCAGCTGTTATACGGGCAAAAGTCATAAAGTCTTGAAATTTTTCAAATTGCAAAGGAGTTTGTCACTACAATATATAATTTGTTGGTCTCTCACTACAGATGTATTGAATAAAGTAAAATAACTCAAATAAACACTTAATTAAATAGAACGAACCTGATTAAGATATATTGAGAACTGACTTCAAAACAGAATTGAAATTGAAAAAAGACTTTATGAACACCTTGTACTGCAGTGTCTGCTTGATTAGAGACTTAGTCTGAGTGAAAATACTGATAAGAAAGCTTTCTACTTACGTGGGCATCCAACACATGCTTCTCCACACATTGCACAGACATTGCCACCGTCTTCTTCTGGGGGTGCGTACATAGCTGTTGCTTTTTTAGCTGTAAATAAAAACAAAGTCGATAAAAATAAAATGACAATTGGAAAATTTGGAAAAGATTTTCTCATATTCTCTGGGCTTATCCTCAGATGACGCCTGTTGCATGGTATTTTCATATAGGATTAGGATTTACATATTTATCCCAGGGGAGAGGAAAGTCGATAAGATGATTTAACCATATGGCAAACCATGGCCTCTCGTCCGGAAGCATGGACTTTAAAGCATATTCCAGTTTTAGAAATCTTTAATAAACATCAATTATGGTTGTTTGTTGTCTAAGCGTGTCTGCATTAAGCTTCTTGTGCCACAAATAAGCAAAAATTGTCTATCTGTCCCCCGTTGTTTACGGTATATGCTATTTATTTACTCTTGTTTATCTTTAAATAGTTTGTTGTGTTTCTTTTTTTTTTTGCAATTCTATGTCTGTAAGCAGCAGTTTATACTAAAGTGTTTGCATGAGCTGTTTTGCTTGCTTATTAAAATATTGTGTATGACACTATTTATCCTACTACGAATCTGTTTGTAGCAGTTACCACAAATATGCTTGAACAGTCAAATAGCGTAGTCATGAGGGTCGCAGTGTGGCGCATCGTATTAAGCGTTAGAAATACGGTTCCTGTAGGGATAATCATGTGCAAGAGAATTGCTCCCCTGGGATAAATATGTGAATCCTATGATTTTAATTGATTTAAGGTCAAAATACAAACCTGGCTCATAATAATCCATGACTTCTATTAGTTGTGGTTTGACTCCAGTTACCTCAGCATAACGACGAAGCTTTAATAACATACAGATGGTTCGGCCTTTAGGGAGCTGTGAGAATAAGATGGATTTAATCGTTAATTAATGCTCAACACTAGTTCAGTGAAGTGCTAGACCTGACATGGGCTAACTAAAGCCAACAGGCCAAATCTGGCACAGTGAGTGATTCAATCTGGTCCACCTGATGATGCTTGTGTGCTTGTCATGTGTGGTCTTTCGCAGCCTCGAGTTTCACTTCAGTGCCGACAAGGTTTTGTTAACGTCACCATAACTCTATCTTAACTAACTTAGTTGGATCAACCACAGTGTATCTTCGTCAGTCACACATACATGGCCCGCCATTTTAGGTGGGCAAAATTTATGTGCAATGACCTTACCCACCCTGTGCTTGACATTAAAACCACAGTTGCCAATGCGCCACAATGTACTCAGTGTGAGTTTGCAGATTTGAAATTTGTGGGAGATGATTGTCTTAAAGAGGATTACTTGACTACTCAGCTTCAGGTAGAGATTCATATAACCGCTAGTCAGATAATAAGGCTTTCTCAACCAGCAAGTTCCTGCATCCGAAACGCTTAACTAGTTAAAGAGAGGTCGTGGTTCACTATTCGATTGAGCCATCTTATCATATTTTGGTACTCCCGTAGTATGTGTATCAGGTTTGGTGTAGTGTGTGTACCAGGCCATAATTTTATTCCGATTTTCCTTATTTTAGTTCTATTACAAGTTTGGGGTTAGCCAAGTGAATATACCCCGACCATAGATTTCAGTTCCTTTACACAACTTGACGTAAATTAGCCAACACAAAATTAGTTACCTCCATATTGGTACACATACTTTTGAAGCGCCCATATTTGATCTCCCATGAAATATATATTGGAATCTCATCCCTAACTAGCATTAAAAATACATTTATGGAACATTAATAAAAAAATACTAGTATATCGAAAAAAAGGCTGGGAACCCCTGTACATTTAATAAAATATGCCTGAAGAAGTCTGACCTTGGTCAGACGAAACGTTACAAAAATATATTTGTGTTAGTGTGCAGCAAGACTCTTGAATCACTTAAGATTTTTAAACGTACTTTTTCAGACTAGACATGGGCTGACTACGGCCCGTTGAGTAATTCAACCTGGCCCGCCTGGTGCTGTCACAATGAAATTAAAACCAAATTCGGATGTTGAGCTCTGAAATAGCTCAAGGAATTTATTGAGTTTGCATTTAAATTTGGATCTGTCACGAGGTTATTGATTTTCACTTTGACTTTTGTAACACTGTAAATATTTTTCGTAAAATGTAACTTTTTACGTCACACTTACATGGCACGCCAGTCTAGGTGGGCCACATTTTTGGCCCTTGGTTCAAATACTGTGCCCACCCGTGCTCTATACCCTGTTGTTTGGTGCTTTTACTGGGGTGAAAATATAGATCTCATCAAAAATAATAAAGGTACCTCATCAAAATATCCTGTGATTTGATCTCCATCGAGTTCAACAAGTTTCAATTGACGATTTTCTCTCGTTGCTTCTTTGTCGTCAATTGTGTATCCACTAGGCAGCGCTGCTGTTATCACAAACATTCCAGTGCCCTCGACAACTTCTGTACGATCTTCATTGATTCTAAATAATAAAGTGGGTTATGTGAATTTTTTAAATTTTATGCTTGCAAACAGCACTATCATTACTTATCGATCTTGATCGGTAAGTATGTTGATAGGTATTTGTCTGTTAGACACTTTCGTATGTTACGCGATATCTCACGAAAGCGAGGTTGAATTTGCTCCAAATTTCGCATGTGCATTCATCATATCTCGGACCAGAAGCCTATTGATTTTGAATGAATTATGTCGTATAATCAGAGAGTTATTGATTAATTAGTGATGGGACATGCGGTGTCGCTATTGAGTCAGAGCGAAGGATACACGCCGCTAGATCGATAAGTCGGTGATCTTATGTGGATTTTATCCATATCGCTGGTTTGGTTTAAATTACGGCGCTCCAGAAGTATTCGTACCAAGATTATGCACCACCTGAACAACCCCAACCTGGTACACATACTACCCTCCAGTTTGTGCGCCATCTTGGTATGAATACTTCGGGAGTATCTGAATCTCAAATAGCAAAAAACGTTACACTACCTTGAACAAACTTGTAAGTTGACAATTTCTCCTTGGTATTGTTCTTTAACATCGACTTCTACAATGAACGGATCGTCACTTCTTGGACCGACAGGCAGGTTATACCAAACAGTGACTTGTACGTCACCAAATCCTTGTCCACTGGCTTCAATTATAACATCTCCTGATACTGCAGGAAGCTAAGAAATTGAGAATATAGATGAGTCGTTATTTGTGTTAAATTTCAACTTCTATTCAAACAAAAGTGTATACCAGTACTTTTGAAACTGGTATGTTGTTGTTTATTTTTATCACTGTGGCAATGTTCAGTTTTTCTGGTTGACGAAAAAAAAATCTCTTTCTATCTGTCTAGACAATTACCTGAGCCATTTGCAATACGATTTGATTGCTGTCTGAGAGTTGGAAAGTTTCCTCGAAATTTTTATCTCCGCTGTGAGTTACTTTGATATCGAGATTCATTGTACGTTCAGAGAATAATCCGGCTACTGTTGAAAGAGCTTGGATTGCCATAACAGTATCCTGTGAAAGAGGAGAATTTATTACAGAGGAGAGGAAGGAGGATAAGATTAACAATGGGATAACTTTCAAAAATTTTGTCTTTGAGTTTTATTCATACATCTTTTGTTAAGGCATCTGATGATAAGTAGACCAAATGAATACTTTACGGCATATGAAATCACAATAATTTGGTATTACATAAATTCACATGTTCAAATACTTTGTGCTATCTTACATATCTAGAACAGAATTAAAGAACGAACAAATCCTACTTGTCAAACATACCTGTGTGGAATGGTATCCTCCAAATGCACCACGTTGTTCAACGAGCCATCTAACAATAGGCATGATGTCTTCTCGTCCCATCTTTACATAAGTCAACAGAACGTATGCCGTAGTTTCAATAGACGCTGTGCTTGGTTTATCATCATCCATCGGACAATATTCTTTCCTTGCTTCACATTTTGACATTCCAGTTGTCTTTTTCTCCCAGAATTTCATGTTGGCTGTGTGAATTTATGGGAAATTTAGGAATTAGCTGAAAATTCTAAGCTTTGACAAATGGGAAAATGAAATGGACCTCAAATGTTATAAAATTTTTGTAACAACTTTGAATGTATCAGATTTGTTCAATTCTTGGATTGCAGCTTTCAATTAATCGTTTTCATCCATAAACACGACACATAAAATAACTGATAGGAATGCCTTTAGAGCAAAACTAAGTATTTTATAAAATGACAGAGGACCATGAGTGTGGAAGGAATGGCCGTGTATCAAGAAAGTTTGAGAACCATCGCACTCATAATATCAAATCCTGTAAATTTATTACATTAAAAAATGCAATACCTTTTACAGTTGACATGCTGTCAATGATGTTCAATATCTTTGGAGCTTCAATGCTTTCAACAAGAGACAGGGCATATCCCATGATAGACAGAGTGTAGAGATCTCGGACTGATTCAATTCTGGATTCCAAATAAGTTTGAGTCTTCTTCATTGCAGCTTCCACATCCTGTATAGAAGCGTAACATGACTCGGTTTACACTGATGAACAGGCAACAAGAAAGTTGTGGTGAATAAGAACGTGACATATGGTTCGAGTTTTATGGCACACTTTACTGTGAACGAATTCACATTATTAACGAATTAGTTAACTATGTATGTATGAGGAAGTCTGACCTTTGTCAGACAAAACGTTACAGAAATATATTTGTGTTAGTGTGTAGCAAGACTCATGAATCACTTGGATTAATGAATTATGTGTACACTGACTGGCAAATGGTAATTATACCAGAATAGTTGTGGAGTTAACACCTACGGCAATTCAGTTGACAAAAGTTTGGGACGATTTGGGAAGGATTTTTTTTACCAAATTTTCAATGACTGGTGTGCGTGCAATGCACCAGAATTACTCTTTGAAGTTTCAATAGCTCGTGACACACTGATCGCTGGTAACCTCCAAAGTTGAGTATATCTGACTGAGCACGCTTGCCTTTTCTCTGGGCAAACTCACCTATCAAAGACTTAAACTGGAATTTGGTTGGAAACCGAAGACTTATCGATCGAAGGTTAGGGGATCCCCCAAAACAGTGGTCTTACTCCATAGTGACACTGTGTGTCCCATCACTAATTAATTAATAACTCGCTAATTATACGACATAATCCATCCAAAATCAATAGGCTTCTGATCCGAGCTATGATGAATGCACATGCAAAATCTGCAGCAGATCCAATCTCACTTTCGTGAGATATCGCGTGCATCTAACAGACAGACAGACAAACAGACATACAAACAAATACCTATCAACATACTTACCGATCAAGATCGATAAGTAACAATGAATGAAGCCAGTTTAATCCTGACTGGTACTTACTTCATTCTTTTTCCAATTTCCTTCAGACAAGGCAATCAGCATATACGAGGACAATGTTTCTTTGCTGTCCACTCCACCCTAGAATGAAAATATTCATGTTTAAGTAAAAATAATTACTGAGAAGTTGCAAAAAAACACTGAGAACTAAGGAATGAAATAAAGTTGTACCAGTGTGTTTTTTATTTGTTTTTATATAAAGTTTCTCGCAAAAGCCATGTGACAAGAAGGCAAACCACACTTGTATTATTGCTAGTCCATGTCAGGTATAGAAGTAGTTGGCCTTACATGCTGTAAATATTTATTGAATATTCAGCCGGTACTCCCATAGTGTGTGTACCAGGTTAGGGTCAGGCAATAATTTTATTCAAAGTTTCCTTTTTTTAGTACTATTACGAGTTTGGGGACTGTCTATGTTAGTTATATCTTCTGCCCATAGGCTTCCGTCCCTTTACACAACTTGATGTAAAGTGGGCAAACAAAATTAGATATTTTCATATTGGTACACACACTCCTGGAGCACTATATAGATGCAGATACTAGGATTGGCATTTTAGTGGTGCCTGTAACTTCGCTCAGAGATCAATATCTCTGATATTTGAGTAAGTGCATGTGGTCTTGCTTCGAGTAAATCCCCCTCCCCCCCCCCCAAAAAAAATTACTCAAACCTGCATATCCTTGTGAATAACTCTTCCTGGTTCATTGAATGTTCCGTCTTTATTCTGTTGTTTGAGAATGAAGTTGATGGCTCGGTTGACCTTTGACTCTTCGATAAGGTCACTATTGAGTTCTTTAGCCGCTATGAAACATTTTGCAACAAATGCGGTCAACCATGTACTGCCAGAACGATCTTCTGAACCAAATGCACTAAATGAGCCGTCATCTCGTTGGTATCTGTGTAACAGAATAACATATTTCAATAAAAAAATTTCACTCCACAAAATACAGTAGAATTGCCGATATTATTAATATTTTCTTAAATATTTTTCATGAATTTTAGGATAGGATGGGATTAAGATATTTACTAGGGGGAGAATAAAGTCAATAAAACAGCTTAATCATATGGCGAATCACAGTCTCTTGTCCAGTTATCAGTTCCTATCATGTATTGGATTGGTTAGTCAGTTATCTATTTTCGGAAGCATGGACCTGTTGGTGGAGGAAGCCGTAGCCAACCAGCGGTTACGTGAACCACCCTACGGCGGAGAGGAGTCCAGCAATCCTCTCGCACATAATCAACCCTGCAAACCAAACTATAAAATCACCTCAATTCATTAGTGTATCCTTCTCTGATATGAGATTCTGATTTTTGTTTGATTTTTCCTTCCAATTCACCAACTTTCTTCAGATACAAACTGATATAAACATCAGGTGCGAAGCCGACCATAGTTTGTTCGCCACATCCGCTCGGCATTTGTAACAAGTTTCCGAGATTACTGAGAGCGCTTCCAAGAATGTTGCCTGGACAAAAATGAGCAAGAATTATTTTTATACTTCAGGGAACAGTACATGAATTGCTCAATAATATTTTGAAGAAAATAAAAAACTGTCTTTGAACTTTATTCATCGCACAAGAAATTGGAAACATTGTTATTGTTTTTGTCAATCGAATTTAATAAATTATAGTAAACTGAGAGATGGTGCACAAAATTTGAGAATAAACTGCTCAGAGCTGGAATAGAAAGAAAAATTTCCGCCATAGAACTCAAAGTATTTGAAAGAATGTTGACTGGACTGGTTATAACTGGTATTTCGATTCAACCTGAGAATTTGCCTGTAGCAATAGGTATAGCTTGGGAAGGGGGGCTCTGACAACCTTATGGCATGGGTTCTCAAAGTGCTTCGTACAGAGCCCCATGAGAGAATCCCAGGGCTCTACGAGCTATCCATTTACTTATTAAAATACTGAGTTGGTTGATTTTGTACCTGTCCAAAGCAGCAACAGCATTTACAAAATTTGACAACGGTAGCATCAAAATATGGCAACAAGGTGGTAATTCAAATATGACATTATCTATGAGTTCCAAAAGATTATTTATATTTTTGTAAATTTATCATGGAGCTCCGTAAATAATAGTCTACCCCCTCACCGCATCCATAACACCAAAAGTTTGAGAACTCCTACCTTATGGCACTGATAAGGGTGCTGATTATCAATATATTAGTTGTCAAAAACACTAATCAAATGTTCCATTATTAAAACATCATCATACCTGAGACAGAGAACTTAACACGAGCTGACCCTTCCACGGCATCTTCAGGAATGTTGACATTGAAAGTCACTGATTCAGGAACACCGTCGTCTGTTTCTTTATCAATGATACTACTGTGAGATTCAATCTTCTGAATTCCTTCAGGCTAAGAAAAATAAGAATTCAAAGTTCATAAAAGATTTCGAGAAGGATTACTCTAAGCAAGGCTATACACTATAGCACTGATAAATAATGAGTTGGCATGAGAATGTACCACAAATCTTAAAATTGCAATTTCTCTGATGAATGTAATTGTAAGTCGGGGCTACGAGTTCTGCGTAAGAGTGAAGATAATTATTCTGAAACAGGGGTGGACAAGGTTTTCAGAGCAGGGGACTGGAATTTTGCCCACTCAGACTGGTGGGCCATGTAAGTATGACGTGAAAAGTTACATTTTATGAACAATATTTACAGTTTTACAAAAGCAAAAGAGGTAAACAATAAGCCCCATGTCCAAACTGAATTTAATCGCAATTTAATTAAACAAATTTTTTGAGTTCTTTTTAACTAAATCATCAAAATTTGGTTTTAGATAGGTTGTGGCAGCATCAGACTGAATCACTCAATGGGCCCAATTTGGCCTGTGGGCCGTAGTTTGCTCATGTCAGTTCTAAACGATTCAAGTTTGAAGAATCTTGCTGCACACTAGCAGAGATATATTTCTGTAACATTCTGCTAGTCAGACCAAAAACTATCCAAATCTCCGAGAAAAAAGAGCCACATGCAAGTCCGGAGCCACAGGTTTCTGAGCTATCTGTGTTGGTGTGAAGCTTGACCAGATATGGGAAAACTGCGGCCCGCGGGCCAAATCCGGCATGTTGGGTAGTTCAATCTGGCCCGCCTGATGCTGCCACAACCAAATTAAAATCAAATTTTGATGTTAAGCTAAAAAAATAGCTCAATGTATTAGTTTAGATTGCGATTGAATTTAGTTTCGGCCCAAAGACCATTGTTTCCACTTTTGATTTTGTAACACTATTCTTCATAAAGTGTAACCTTTTACATCACACTGACATGGCCCGCCAGTCTAGATAGGCAAAATTTTTGGCCCCTGGTACAAAACCCTGCCCACCCATAAGCTAGACTCTGGAATATTCAAGATTTATTGAATCATCTTACTTTGACAACCATAGTTCTTTCAACTGCATCTCCAGCTCTTGGTGATGTTGCTGAGACTGAGATTCTTGCTGTTCCAACTTTTTTGAATGTTATCGGGAAAACAACGGTTACTGAATCTTTGCTTGGGATTGTCACCGTTCTGATTGGTCCAGCAGCGATTGGGTCATCCCCAGGGATAACAAGGTCATACCATTCATTTTCTTTAAGAGTCAGAGTGACCTGAAATTCAATTCAATAAAATTACTAAAACAGCAACTTTTTTCACTGGCACTCACATAAAAGAGGTAAGTTATTGAATTGGCTTAAAATGTTAAAACCGGAATATTCATATTCAATTCAACAAAATTATAAAAACTGGGAAGTGAGCAACTCTTTTATACTATTTTGGTGACTGTCACCCACATAAAAAAAGATAAGTTTATAGAAATAAGGCATAGCTTGGACTGAACTCCCAATAATACAAGGCCATAATCTGACACAATATAATACATAATCTAATAAACCATTTCAATATTTTATAAAAATTATCGAAATATCTGTAATATATTTTTTACTTTAAACAAGGTTGCTGTATACTGCTATTATTGTAGACTGTCTCTATTATTTGGGGGACTGACCCTGATGACCGTATGGTCCTATCGCTCCATCCCGTCATTACTAAAAAACATTGTTCTTTTTTTTATTGTATGTGTATTTATTTGTTTTTTGTAATTTATTTGTTTTTGGTTGGCAAATCAATGAATTTGTATATCCTTAACTTTCCTGAAAATGGATTTATAAGCTCGGAAAACTCACTGTAAGCTCATCATCAAAGTAGTTGAAGAGGGTCGTCTTCATATTCAGTGTTTCTCCTCTGATCATGGTTGGAGGAAGATTCAGGGAGATGAAGAAGTTGCGGAAGACTGTGATCTGTGATATAAACGGTAATTTAAAAAAAATCTAGTTCATGGTCAGACTTCAGTTGATGATATTATTATCCCAATAATCACAAGCTTAAAGCTCGTTTAGGAAGTATCTCATCATGTTTATTTTTTAGTAATAATTTGTAACATAATGAGATTGCCAATGTAGTACTTTTTTGCACATATGCGAATATTTTAAGTTTTGAAAACATTTAGAGGTTTCTTCCAATGTGTTAGTCTATTGCAGTCGTTTCCAACCGATGAGTAATTGAGAGGTCGCTAATGGGGATGAAATTACTTTGAATGAATTTCGACAAAAAAAAGAAGTTCAATCAGCGGCTAAATTTTATTGTAGGATGTAATATGTTGGGAACGAAGACCCAAATTGGAAGTGCAGAAAAAAGGTTGAGAACTGCTGGTCTAGTTTGGTAATATGTGAAACTATCAGTAATATAAAATTTAATAAAGGTAAAATGCAGTTTATTCAAAACATACCATCCTGTGTTGAAGAGGGTTTGTACATTAATTATAAAAAGAGCCCCAACATGGTAATGCAAGCGGGAAATTTACAATGATAAACATGTTCATAGCACTCGGTACACAATCATAACCAGAAATAGAGTCAGTTAACAAATTCAACCTTTGATGTTTCATCAGTGACTCCAAGACCTTTCTTGTCAGAAACAGCAAAACTACTGAGCTCCCAGGTAGTGATTGTATCGGGCGTGTTGTAGGTAAAAGTTGTCGAACCATCGTCCCTGGATTTGGAGAAAAACAACGTTAAAAATTGTGTCAAAGTTTTGAATTTATATCCTGTTTACACCAAGTATTTTGAAAAATGATTTTCAATAAATTTAAAGCCATAAACAAATCCATCACATCAATTTGCGATGTTGGTTTCAGATCATAATTTAGGATAAATATAAGTCCAGCAAGGCCCAACAAACATGAGTAGATTTTTTAATTAAAAATTGGATAATACCAATTTTTTTTATTAATTTTTATTTCCTATCATTAAATCACGTTAACAATGGGATCGAATAAAAAAAAGTGAGATTTCCTATTTAATCTCAAGCGTGGAAGTCAATAAAACAATTTAATAATAAATTATCATAATTTGAGAGTCTGCCAGATTAGGTATGGGAAAAGCTGAACAGTTAAATTTATGATTACTTTTATACAAACTGAATTTGTCAAAATATGGGGTGTAAACAGGCTTCAAGCTACCAACATACAGTCCAAAATGTATGATAAAATTAGATTTAAACAAATAAAAAGTACCGAATATTTCTATATTTTTTTTTATCAATTTGGATGAATCAATCATACATTTTGGGCTTAACTTTATTCTAACATGCAGCAAGCAAGCCCATGCAATCACCAAGATGTTGCAAATGGAATTATTGGAATTGGAAACAGCATTGCCAGACAGTTTTGGTATGTATTGTTTGTATTAGATTTTTTTTTATCATTTTCGAGATACCAATTGCAACAATGCCACTTAACAATAAAAATGCAATAAACTGCACTACAGCAAGTAAACATGCAAACAAGTTAAATAAACACAATATATGTGATGTTAAAAATTTCATGCATCCACTATTGTAACAATGTAAGCTAATGGTAAAATCATGCGTCTATAACTTTTTCCAAAAAAAGGGTTATAGCGAAAACAATACTGGCCAAAGCAGGTGCAGATTACTTTTCTATTAGCTGGTTGAAGCAATGATTTCAGGCATATACTGTTTCATATTAAGCAGAATTGGGTGCCAACTCAAATTAGATTCAATGCCAAGTTTCATTCAATTTATGTTCGTGACATACTAAATTCAACCATGCTAGTGCTAATTGTTAAATTGAAGAAGTATAAACACATGCATCATGCAATATTAATGAATTGTGAAATGGATGTTTTTGTGACAAAGATAAAGTTTTTGTTTATTTACAGCCTAGCTACAAGGGAGAAGAAGATATATGCGAGCTTGAAGCAGCGATATTTAGCGTAGATTTGTAGTATTTAGCGCAGATTTGCAGTATTTAGCGCAGATTTGTAGTATTTAGCGCAGATTTGCAGTAAGTAACATGTAAGCGCAACTTATTGTGTAAGCTAGGCGAACGTTATTAAACCAATGCTTTTCATAGTAGAAGGATGACGAACAGAGAAATATGAGAGTCAGAAGGTTATTGCTTGAACAGTGAAATCTGTGTATCTGTAAGGTTAATATAACACTTGGATCGCATAGTGAGCTTTTTTCCGAGCTATTTCATTATTAGCATGACCACAAGTATTTAATTTGAGTAGTTAAATTAACTAGTAAGAAAAAATTGTCTTTAAAATGTTTAAGGCGTATATATTATAGACAGGGTTATTATGAATGTATGGCTGTAAAAAAGGTTGCAAGTACTTTAAACCTTAGTTGGTGACATACGAAAGCGATAATCTCTGAAAATACCTGAGCATATATGGAAATAAAATGTTTGAGATCATATTTATGTAGATGTAAGTATATGGAATTGCTTTTTAAAACGAAATGTAAAAATGAATTTAGTGAGTCTAGGTCTATGAATGTAAGTGTTTGTGTTGCTATACCAAACTGGATATTTGAGAGCATTACATAGTTTATACAGCTACATTTTGAATTAGTGATGTTTATATAAATGTTCATAAATTCCGCAAACATCACTTGAAGGACCTTTTCTGCTGCTGATTTGACATGTAGACAGTAGGTTAGGATAATGGATGGAATGCCATTTAAACGGCATTATTTGTGAAGACCAGTTGGACGACCACTTAGACAACTACATATAACTAACAATTTCCACACAAAACAATTCTTAAAGCATGCACTAAAGTCTAGTAAGAAACACTACAACAAGGAAAACACACTCAGATGAAACGAGGTATATCTGATTGCCAGGTAACATCACAAAAATGATGAAACAAGACTCTAAGACTCAAGGGGTTCGGAAGACTGTCAAAACACACAAGACAAACTTTGAAAAGCACAACACACTTCACACATATTCCCACCCTATCTGACTATCTGTCCAAATCCAAGATTCAGGAAAAAAACTTCTTGTTACTGAAGGGGTAGACGCTGAGCCTTGATCTACTAATACTTTATTGACTGGAGCTCCATCATCTGTCGCCATGGCAAACATTACAGGTTGCGCGTCTTCTTCAAGCCAGAAGTAGTTGACTTTAAAAAAAAGAACACTTCACTTTAAACACCTGTACTCGCTGTACATGGTGTGTACATCTGTAAATAATGCGATTCAATTTCGTCTAAGCTATGCTCTAGACATGCCCAACTTGCTATGCCCAAATCCACTTTAGTTTGGAGAACATGAACACTCAACTCCATTATAGCAATGTTTCATACAAATTTTTTTACAAGTAAGGTCCTTATTAATAACTGATCAACATAACACCAACTCTACAATAATAACAAGAACATCAATTTTAGTAGCCAAGTCTACCATATGTCTTCTACTCAAAGAAACCTTTTCAAAACAGTCACTCACACATGTTACTGTATTAACCTCTCAAAATTGCATGACTACTATTTACCCTTTTCATCTTTTCGTCAACACTTTTCTGCTGTACTAATTTCGAACCATAACTTGAAATTGTACGCAGCATTTCACAAACAAAGAAAAACTACTCAGTACGTTTCTTTCAACATGGAAAGATGAAAGTCACATTTTCTACGTTAATACAGTAATGACAAACTCTACAATCAGACATGTTAACATACAACTACAGAAATGAATGAATGAGGATGAAATTATTGAGTATGGAAAAGTTCAAATGATATGATTTCTCTAATGATAGTACAAAACAAAACTACAGCTACACACAGTACATAGCTAACTGCAATCACCTAGTTCAACTACTGTCCAGATAATTGACAAGTTGCATTCTCGAGCACGGAACCAACTGGCAAATAGGATTATTTGAAACTCAAAATCCTTATGCATGCCCTCGTGTTTTTTGGTCCAACCCCATCATGAGTTTATTACATTCCAAACCATTCAATGTAATCAGGGATAAATTTACACTAACATGACAAGTTAGGATGATAAGGATTATTGGGTTAAGGATGTTCAAACCATGGGCGTCCAGCTGACCAACCCAAAAGAAGTAAGTCATTTGCAGATTTGCACCTCTCCCCTTGAAATATCTGTGGTGGACGCCCCTAATAATAATGGTATTACATGATTCATGATCACACTACACCCTCGAACCAACCCTATGGTGTCATTTGTCCAGATCCAAGTTTCTGGGAAATATTTCCGAACTTTAACAATACTTTGTGCAGATTTGGTAAAGGAACTTCCTAACATCATTGGTGCAAACTCCAATGTTTTAAACATTATTGGTCCATGTCTCCCTGAAAAGATTTAAAAGTAAAATTGCATTTAAGGTCTTGCAGCCTGTTTTTGTGCCCAGATACAAACTTTTCTATTCATGCAAAAGAATGCAACTTCTCTCACAACCTGAATTATATTTAGGTTACACAACTATTACTAAAATTCATTGAAGCATGACCATTACGCAAAAGCACAGTGTCGTTGCTGTTATTTGATGTGAAGGTCAAAATCGTGCTAAAGCAGACCAGACCATTTGTCTACTCATGCTTTTCTACAAACAAACCCTAAAATATTTTCAGCCCATATCCAAGTTTCAGGAAAATACTTTCGAACTTTAGTCGACGATTGCCGAAAGGCTCCTTTCATTACCGGCACTGCCGACCTAAGCATAGGCGCAGCGTCCATAGCCATCATCATTGGCATTGGTCGACCATGGCCCCCTAGAGAGAAATATTATTAAACACAAGAAAGATTTAGCAAGATTGTACTTTCAGTTGTTGGTTTTCAAGCTAATCTGTAACTAATCTGTAAAGATGCCAGCTGCATAAAACATTATCAAAGTCATAAGCCTGACTATTACGATGGGCATTACTAATTTCCCCCCAGTGCTGACTACTGAAGTAAACATACATCAAATATCTTTTCTTTTTCTCAGTTTCCAAAATACAACTATTTTCAAAACAATTTATGTACGGCTGTGACTCTCCGTCCGTCACGATTCAAATACTATTCTATTTTACATCCATATGAACGTTTTAGAGCAAAAATGCACATTTCGGATATATTAGCATTTGTGTCGGCACGACACAAATGATGTTTTTATTAATAGTTCTTATTGTGCTTGTAATCCTCTTTTATCATACAATAAAATTTATTTAAACTTACAATTGTTATTACTATAAAATCGGGCGAATTTTTAGACACCCTGTATAATTACCGGTAATGATATACGGTAAATAATTTCCCCCAGTATAACTGAACCTATACTGTATTATACTAAATCATAGAATAAATGCATTGAGCAAATAATTGGGATAACTTTTACATTCTGACAAAAAGTAGAACACTCAAAGCGTGACGTCATATCACAAAACGTGACATCATAAAACAAAACTGTGATATCATAATACCAAAGAGGGACGTCACATACCAAAAGTGTGAAGTCATAATATCGACATTCTACGTCAAAATACAAAGTGTGATATACAAAGTAAGTCATAGTAACATTTAAGAAGAGAGGATGAGCATTGGTGTATGCGCTAGTGCATAGGTTCTCAAAGTGCTCCGTACGGAGCCTCAGGGCTCCGCGAGAGGAACCCAGGGGCTCCGCGAGCTATTCGATTACTTTTCAAAATACTGACTAATTTTGTAACTGTTTAAAGAAGCAATAACAGCTTTGATAAAATCTGACAACAATATGGCCTCGAAATATGGCAAAGAGGCTGAATTAAAAAATGACATTATTTATAAGCAGGAGCGCAGCCAGGATTCTTAAGAGGGAGGTGGTTCAAAATTGGAATCGGAAATTACCGCGCAACATTCTTCGCGATTAAAAAAAACGTATAACGAGATTTCTGTTGTGTGAAATATTCAATCCATGACCAATGCGAGCATTTAACGTGTCTCGTCGTTATAATGTAATTGTGCTCATCGTTACTCACGTTTGATACGAGATTACTATTAGGATTACTAAAATAAAAGAATATTATTCTGAAATAACATAAAATATGTGTAAACTGCCAACTATCAATAAATTGGAGTCGTATTTTTGCGATATTGGGATTTGTCAAACTTGATTTGTTCTTTCGCACTTGAGATTATTTTTAAGCAATATATCGCCCTTTAAAAAAACACAATGTCTGGGCAAAATACGAACAATCGAAATTTATTTTATTGCATTCGGCTCCGTCGGTAGTTTCAGAATGAAAAAAGGTACATCGCGGATCGCGCGCACAATTGATTGCGTGCGGCTCCGTCGGTAGTTTCAAAATGGGAAAAAAAGGTAGGCCTACATCGCGCGCACAATTGTACTTGTGTTTCGATTTCACAGTTACTACAATGAAAACCTAACATAACACCAAATTTTGTGATTTGCAATGTCTATAAAAGCGTTTTCAATCCTAGGTGAGTCTGCTGAAACCAAACGTGTGATCTTCCATTTTAAGTTTTAGTTTTAATATTTCAGAATGCCGCTTTTTAATCAAGAAACTTGAGTTGCAGATTTATCTCTTTATTAATTATTATTTTTAGCATTTCGTCGCCGATGACTATAATATGGTAACATGTTTTTCACATTGAACTCATAATTCCCCACGAAAACACAAAAGCCATTAACGTCGTCATTGTGTAACAATACATGTATATGCAGAGGGAAATTTGAATCAGGGAGAATAAACACCGGCGTGAAGATGTTTAAAGGTTCAAAAACACGCCATGCTGAGGAAAAATCGGCGATTGTAACAAAATGCAATCGCGCACATTATTAGCGGCCTTTTAAGTCTTCCAAACATGTCAAAAGGGAAAAGATTCGACCATGTTTGTCAAGTGTCAAATTTACAGCTTTAGTATATATAATTTATGTTTGAAATTTAGATTTTTTTATGACTTGTATTAACCCTTTCAAAAAAGGTTCAGCATATAAATTGAGTAAAGTACTTATAACTTGCTCAGGAATATTAATCCGAAAGTAACAATTTTAACATTTATTTTGGGGCTCCGTGAATAATAGTTAACCTTTTCAAGGGCTCCGCAACACCAAAAGTTTGAGAACCCCTGCGCTAGTGGACACGATAGGCCTTTGAGGCGGATCGTGCAAAAAAAGTCGGCACATGCACGATAATATAAAGCACACATTGCATGCGAAGAATGTATTTCGAATTTCAATCTAACCCTGTATGGTCATCAGTCCATATCCATGACTCCGGAAAATAGCTTCGAGTTTTTGAAGCTCCGGACTGCTTATCGGATCCAACGATTCTGGATTCCGTCCTCTCAAGAGCCATGGGAACCGAAGGGAAAAAGTGAAAACCGTTTCCTTCCAATCCTTCAAATCCGCCAAAGGGGTCTTCAAATAAATTGATAAATGATAATAAATAATTATCCTTGCAAGGGGGCAAATTTATTAATTCAATGTCGGAAACAGACGTTATGATAACAGACTACGATAACCCTGAAACGTTGCTTACTCAGTTTTTTACTGAAAACTTTGTATACATATGTATGTGTGCGTGTAGTGTGTTTTCTAGTTTGGTAAAGAAAATAAACTTTTCCTTTTCAAATTTAGATAAAGCTGTGGTAACCTGTACAATTTCTGCAATTCTGGACAGAACTAGCTCTTTCTCTAATCTAAACCTTCAGCTGTTTTCTATCTCTAGTCTGTACAAAAAGGAGGGTGAACGCGAGGTTCTAATCCTGAATTTACGTGCAAAGGGACGTATTGCTTTGCCTTGATTAATATTCTGTTGATATGATACTATGAGCATGGATATGGGCAGGGGTAGGCAAAGTTTTTGGATCAAGGGCCAAAAATTTTGCCCAACCAAGACTGGCGGGCCATGTGAGTGTGATGTAAAAGATACATTTTATGAAAAATAGTTACAGCGTTACAAAAAGAAAAGAGGAAAACAATAAGCCTCGTGACAAAACAAAATTTAATCGAAATCTCAATAAAATTCTTGAGCTATTTTTAGCTCAAATATTAAAATCTGTTTTCAGTTTGGTTGCGGCAGTATCGAGCGGGCCAGATTAAATTACCGAACTGGCAGGATTTGCCCATATCAGATATATATCAGATTACCATAATAAATGAAGTCAGAGACCAAAATGAGGAAATTATGTTATATATTCTAATTGTCGATCAGCAAATAGTCCACCAGTGCTGGGATTCAAAAATCTTGTAACAGGTTCTCTTTTGTGTAGGACTCGCTAACAACGAGAAATCAATGTATGTCACGGGTCTAGAAACGAGTTCGCTGACTATCATGAAATTCCAAGAACGCCCAAAAAACAAACCGCCGACAAGTAGATCGCGCATACGGGAGTTCAAATTCAACTTTCGAAACATTGTGATCTTTTCTGCTGTTAAATGATTCTATACAAATGCCAGAATGCGTATGTAATCCTACACGACATGTGTGTTCTTGTTTTGGGATTCACAACCTTAGTGGTATTTGAGGTAAATTGGTATCGAATTTTTCAGTTAATTCAATCATATTCAATGGTTAATCATAACTGAAGATTTGATATGATCTTCAATTAATTAATTCACCAATTAGTCAAAAAAGAGTGTTATTATGTGGTACAGAGCGATATGGAGATTAATAGAACAAGTCCAACCCATTTTTAAGATTCTACTAGTATTTTTTGCATACTTCATTTACAACTTGCCAAAATAAACATACCAAATGTTAAAATTATAGAACAACATGTTTCTGACATCCCAAAATATTCAGTGATTTCTATTTCAATGACACCACCCATTCGCATGTCGGGCGATTTTGCTGATTAATACCACAGATCACAAACCCCGTTTTACTGTCAGTCCAAATCCAAGATTCTGGAAAATAACTCCTTGTTTTGGAGCCCAATTGCTGGGAACTCCCTGCAAATCCATCAGCGTCGTCCATGTCAAAGTCCATCGAATAATCTGCAAGCATTTCAAAATCGACCTCCGCCATCCCTCTGAAATTTACACCTGCCAATCCTACTGGACCGTCGTAATAATAGAATTCTCCAACTTTGAAAAGATGTGAAAAGGTCGTCAGAGATTAGAATATTTTAAAATCTGATATTTTTCTGACCACGAGATAGCGATATAGAGTATTGAGTTTAAGCCTCACGACTACGAAGGTTGTACATATTTTGAACGTACCGGCTCGCATCTGATTAAATAAATACGTAAATATCTTTATGATTACATTTCGAATATAGATACTACCGTATCGTACTGTAAAAAGCTGAATATAAGAGCATAACAGAATAATCTTTGGTTGCTCTACCAGAATTTATCCCAAGCTAATTGACACACACTCATTCATGAGTAAACAATATGAGCGCGCGAAATTTTATTCATCACTCACTAACTTGGCTCAACCTAACAAAATTATGAAAAAAAGACAAAAACTAGTTACTACAAAACAACGATTCCTATACAACGAGGAAACAAAATAAACAATATAAAGACTCTACATCTGACTCTCAGTCTGTATTACTGTTTGTAACTAATTTATACGCTAATTTTGATGATTTTTTTCTGGTTATTTGATATTTACGTTACAGATTCCTATTTGCTCAAAACTAACTCAGTTTGTTTTTGTAACATATACCATACTCTGCGTATAAGATTACATATATAATATTCAATCATTTGATTAGTTTACCGTCAAACACAAAATATTACCGATGCCCGTAAATAAGCCGCCTTACTTGGTAAGACGAATTTAAGACGTGTTTGTTACCTTCTAAATGATCTCTATTGTATTCTGATATTCGAATTTTTGTGTAATTTAGATAAAGTTTCTGATCATTTTTAATAGTGTCAAGTATTTTTGTCCCATGAGCAAAAAATAAAAAATAAACGAAATCGGCAATGAGTTATTAACGTATGATTTTTGATTGCTCGCAAATAATAAAAAAAACATGCAAATTCTGTTTTAAAGTTAATATTGACCGGATGTGCTGTGTTTGAGTGGACCAATTATATTTTATAATGTATTCAAGACTATCCTCAAGACTACCTCTTTACTTTGAGGCATATATATTGACTCATCACATATTAGAGATTTCCTATTTTTGTGATATCAGATTCGTGAGCATATAATAATAAGAAACGATACGTTCAATCATAAGAAGTCTGTACATTGTGCCTAAAGCACGGGGTTTTCCGCTGATTACTATGTGTTACACAATGTGAAATATACCCTTCGTTTGTTAATTAATGGGATGAAATTCTTCGAAAAGAAGCAGTGTGTTCAAACAAGGCCCGAAAACGAAGTTTCTAGTCTCCACCAAATCACGTACTTCTAAATATTATATATCGTAATTACAAATGTTTTTTATTAATGTAATACTTGTGGTGGGGAGGTTCAACATTTTAAGAATGATTTCTCTGATGAATCGGACTCAAAACAACATGTTCCTTTTTTGATTTATTTAGTAATATTACGTCACCAGCACCGATTGCGTAATGCGTTAGGCAATAATTTGGTTAGTTGACCGTTTCAAAAAGTAGGCGTGGCATTTTATAAAACTTTTAGCTAATCACAGAACAAAAATAAATGATGATTTTTAAAACATGCCAGGTTGCAAGACAATTATGTTTAAAATAATTCCTAACCCCACAAGCTCCTCTGTCCAAATCCAAGATTCTGGGAAGTAGCTCCGAGCTTTAGTTGGCTGAGACCCTCCAGGTTGTCCAGGTTGGGAAGGTGGTGGCGCAGGCTGTCCCGCCATACCAGGCTGTCCCGCCATACCAGGCTGTCCCGCCATCGCCATTGCCGATTCCGGTCCAGGGCCTCCGAGGCGGAAAAGCATCCATGGATGCATTGGAACTTAGAAATAATAAGTAACCCATTGCAAAAAAGTACAAATTTCACTACAGATGAAAAATACAATTCTCGTTCTACGCCCTATAGTGATTTCTTTCCTGTCTGAATTTTATGCATGTGTACTTCCTTAACGCAAGTTTACTATTTTGATCTAAAACTAAAGTACCTGCCTGGCATTTAGGCCACCTCAACTCATGCAGTCGCAGTTCGCTTCGCGCTTTTCTAGGTAAGATTTATATTAAATTTAGGCATCATATTGACTATATATTGAATCATATATTAACTCAGTATGTTTATTCTATGCACACAAGACTCGTAATGAAGATAGTAAAATGTAAAAACAAGTTATGTTCTTTTTAAAACAAGGATGGTCAAATTGGGGCCCGCGGGCCAAATCCGGCCCACCGAAGGGTTTCATCCTGCCCTCTTGTGCCCGACTAAATTACTACTACTGTTTTTATGGCTATAAATTTTAACTAAAACCTATTGTATTACATCAGTGAAATGAGCAGACATGCGATTATTATCGAGTCCAGTTATTTGCAAAAAAAATGTTTTTTACAGCTTCACAGCTTCATATCGATTTTTGAACGTCTTCCCAGTAGCCTCCCAAGTATATTATATTTGCGTGGCCCCTTTAGAGAAGCAATTTTCCACCCTTGCCCTATAATGTGTTCCGCGATGACATGGTAACAATTTTTTCGTGGGTCACCTTATGACTTATTTATTACTTTTTACATAACAGTGAATTTAACATTGTTTCATTATGTTTAGTTCCTGTTTTTTTGTATTTATTTTATATTCTACAATGTGAAAACAACTTGAGTTGTTCGAAAAAAAAAAACGCATGCAGCATTACTGCTTGTCGTAACAGTACAAGCATAGACAAGCGAGAAGCAGACAACTAACAACCCATCGAGAATCCTAACCCCATGTATTCATTCGCCCAAATCCACGATTCGGGAAAGAAACTTCTTGTTTTGGTAGAAGTCCCCACTTTTGCGGCGGGAGGAGCGTTTCTATTCATATCGTTTCCACCCACAATACGGGCATTACCGGGTCGCCGACGCATAAATTGTCTTCTCATGCAACAAGGGCTAGATCCAAAGACTAAAAACAGAAAACGTTTTGTGGCATTTGTAGTGAGACATAAATTCTTACGTTTTTTCCAACTCCATTTTACACTATTCTTGAACGATTTACTGAAAACTAACTTTCCCTGGCTTGCTATCAATGATCCTTCCACCTAAAAAACTAACCGAGAAAATACGCGTACAAATACTGACAATCTAAAGGCTGCCACACCGTTTACAGCGGTGTTCCTCAACGTGCATTGTGTCGGCCTAAGGTTCTTTATACAGTGATGAGCCACAAGAGTTAAAAGACTGAGAACCATTGGTCTACATGACTATAAACTTATAGCTTTACATATTAACAATACATTTCAAAAACTAGAGATTTTTGCAAAACTGTGCATAAAATAACGAAGGGAAACTTATCAAAACGAAACTTAGCGCAGATGTATACAAGTGTTTGGAAGTCTTTAAAAGGGGGTCCCCAATCAGGAAAGTTTGAAAACAGATTTAAAAAGCCTTCTGTTGGACCTACTGAAGTATGCGCACCAAGATGGCGCACAACCTGAGCTCGGGTTGTGTATCAGGTTGAGGTTCAGGTTACGCGACATCTTGGTGCGCACACTTTCTTCAGGAGTACCCTTTTGTTTTTGTTGGTATTTGCGATATTTCGCTGAAAAACGATTATTTCGGTTTCAGGTTTTAATATATTATATGCATTTAGTTTGCAATCGTGATTTTGCTGTGAAAGAGCAGAATAATGGAACACATACTTTATAAAAATTTCCTGTTTATTGTGCGTAGTGATTTTTTTCAAATTTGTCATTTCTGTTACGAAATCACTATGATTTGAAAGTTTAAATTTGCAATCCTGATTTTGCTGTGAAAGAGTAGATTATATAGAATAATCAAAATCAGACTTAAAGTAAATTTTGTGATACGTTTGCGACAAAGCAGAGATACACATGCAAATTCATAAGATGATTCCAGCACACGATAGAAGCCACAAGCAAGCCTTTCTAACCCCATATATTTATCCGTCCAAATCCACGACTCAGGAAAATAACTTCTCGTCGTTTTTGCGGATGTAGCTTTTGCAGGAACTATTCCTGAAGAGACTCTGTGACGAATGTTCCCATCAGCAGCACCGCCAAAGATTCTTACACGAATACACTGCGGACATCGATCAAAAACTTGAAGCAAAATTTCAAATTATTCTTACAAAACTACTTATACGACATTTCTCCTGTCTTCACTTCTAACAAAATTCTGTGAAAGCGGCTACTGCTCTGTAAAAAGCTACTGTTTTGCGAATTTTTTTTATCTGAAGGTTACTAATAATAAACTGTTATGCCTATATTACTAACCTAATCCTGCAATAGCGTACCTAAATCCCTTCGTGAGGAGTACAACATGAAGTCATACCAAAACGTGATGTCACAATAAAATGTGACATAATATACCGTTACAGGACAAGATGTGCCATGAGATGACGTATGGTCTCTGACTACACTGACTACTTACATATAGATATATGAAAAATGATTCCGTTTAAACAGCGTTGATGGAAACCTAAGAGCGTTTTGCTTTAAGAAACAATGTCAGCGTAGTATCTGAAAAAAAAATGCATCGAAAATAGCAACAGCAATTGCCTGTTCAGCAATTGCATGTACCGGCTTATGGTTTTTTGACGCTATACGGATGGGACACAAGAGATAAATGCTGAGAGACACTGATCTATATGATGATACCCTTACACAATAACAATACATTTCAAAAACTAGTGCTGCCTGCAAAACTGTGCATAAAATAACGAATAGAAACTCATTAAAACGAAAATTGGCATTTAATAAGAGCAGATCTATACAATTGTTGGACAGTGACGTGTCAAACTTTCCTGGTGCCCGGGGCCAGTTTCTGTTAATGTTGCCCCCTATACCTAACTAACTAAAGAAATAACTTGGGTGTTTGTCAAACTAAGCAACAACCACTGGTGTTGGGAGTCTTTGAAAAGGGTCCACAGATAATGAAAGCTTGAGAACTGGTTTAGGATGTTTTGTTTTTTTATTGGCATTCGCCATTTTATGTGAGAAATGATTATTACGGTTTATTGTTTATTACATTATGTACATTTCAATTTGCAATCGCGATTTTGCTGTGAAAGAGTAGAATAATCGAAATCAGATTTTATGAAAATTTTATGTTTAGTGTGCATAGTAATTTTCTTCAAATTTGTCATTTCTGTTACGAAATCACTATGACTTGAAAGTTTAAATTTGCAATCGTGATTTTGCTGCGAAAGAGTAGATTATATAAAATGATCAAAATCAGACTTAAAGTAAATTTTATGATTCATTCACGACAAAGCAGAGATACACATGCAAGTTCATAAGATGATTCTATCACACGATAGAAGCCACAAGCAAGCGTTTCTAACCCGATATATTCATCCGCCCATATCCACGACTCTGGGAAATAACTCCTCGTCGTTTTAGTGGATGTAGCTGTTGCAGGAGTTATTCCTGAAGAGACTCTGTGACGAATGTTCCCATCAGCAGGACCGCCAACGATACGTTGAACGCCAAAAAATGGTCGCATGCACCGCGGGCATGGATCAAAAACTTAAAATCAAAAATTTGGAAATATTGTTACTATAACTTCCATAACTATATTTCATGTCTTCACGCCATACAAAATTCTGAAAAGAGGCCACTGCTTTGTATGTTTCAGATCATATGTTTCAGTCCCTTTACACAAATGGATAAAAAATAGGCGAACAAAATTAGTTACCTCCATATTAGTACACACACTTCTGGAGCGATAAAAAAGATCGGAATGTTACTAATAATGTACAGGTATGTCTATATTACTAACCTAACCCTGTACTATCGTATCTAAATTTTCTCGTGGAGGAGTACAACATGACGTCATAACAATGCGTGATGTCACAATAAATACTTTGTCGAAATATGATATCTCAAGTGTCGCAGCGTCCATGTGTGTGAGTTGTTGATATGTTTTGTGTTTTTTTTTAGATTTATCGAAATAACTTTTACGTTTATGTTGTTTGAAGCATATGTCACAAAGTACAAGAAGATTGTTAATGATTAAATCAAGCAAGTAAGTAAAGTAGGCGAGTATAGTTAGATGATGAATCATTTCATGCAGTATTTAGATCTAACCCTATTTTATCTTCGGTCCAAATCCAAGTCTCAGGGAAAAAAGATCTTGTTTTCGGGGGAGATTTCATGATAAACGTCTCATCCTGTATACCTCGCATCATCATCATTGCGCAGACTTCAAATCCGTCTTCAGTCATGTGGCACCCTGTGTCCCCCCCTAGTGATAGTTTTTGAAAAATTGGAAATATCATTCGATTGAAGTAGGCTGTCGTCTCAAAGTTAAAGATTCTTCAGCGTTTTATACTTAGTTAGCTGGGTAAAACTAATTCGAAGATAATGTAAGATTGAAACAATAAAATAGAGTGAAAATTACCAAAATAGCGTACCAGCTCAGCGTTTCAGACGCAGCGGCGAAACAATGCTAATCTTTCATTGAAAAACCAAGATATTCGCAGTTCCAACGCACACGGAAAGAAACTATAACAGAGAGTAGCAAGTGTATTCAACGTCTAACTAGCAAATACGTAACCAATTTGTTTATTTAAAAAAAAAAATCAATTGCTGTGTGGAGTGAATGCAGTGCCTGGTCGTGTGTGCGTGAAGTGTTTCTGTAAAAAATCTCGTGCAAACACGATTTGAGAATTTCCCCACCATGTTCCGATGTAGGCTTCAGACCGGAAAGAGAGAGCTGTTATGTTTTTGGAAAGACCGTAAAGCTTATCCAGTTCATCACACATACCATGGCTGGGTATTGAAGTATGAGTTTGAAAACATGCGGGGTTCACCTTTAATACCACCTTGTGTAACATTGATCTGATTTAGCTCAAACCGTACCCTAAGGTACTATCCGTCCAGATCCAGGACTCCGGAAAATTCGTTCTAGCCTTTGATGTTTGTTTCGAATCTCCCTTGAATCGCAGCCCGGAGTTAGCAGCCATTCCTGGCGCTGCTGGTCTAAGCATATCTTTTCGATCGAACATAGCACATCTCTTATTTCGTAGGAGTCCTCGTTTACGACGACACAAAAATATCGGTTGAATGACTGAAGTAAAGATTATTTGAGAGGTGATGTAAGTCAACATATACAGTAAACTCAAATGCTATCGCTCATGCGCCGTCTCTCGAATGAAGAATATAATATATTCTACCTGTAGATGTCACTAACCCTTCAAAACAAATACTCTGCCGTGATATGGGGTATCGCAAGCGTCGCGTCGTAGCTAAACAGTTCGAGTTCGGAAGTGATAATCGAGTTTCTGAAAGCTATTTGCTCTGGCTGGCATCTAACACCGTATTTAAGGCATGTGATACTTTATTACTGCTACATTCGGCGTTTCAACTATCAAGACATTCGCGAGTCAGCGGGCATGGGATATTTGTTACGTTTTAGACTTTTTCAAAAGTTTTGCTCACTCTCCAGATTTCTCCATTTTAATTAGTGTATATTATAGAGTTTTTAAAATAAAATATCTATCTAAGGATTATCAGCACTGGCACATGACGGGTCAGAATACTCTCATCTTAACAGAAAAGTGTCAATGCTGCTATTTTTCGCCCCGTTGCTATTATCGTTCGAATAATATTGGAGGAGATGGAATGGACTAAATGGTGGGTATCGAAACGTAAAATGAGGTTATGCAAATTTCGGTCTAAAATTACCATGTTTTATATGCTGGTACTGGTCTGTTTAATACCAAGTATAGTGCACTAACAAAGGCGTGGTCTACGCAAAGTCTAACGGAAAATCAACCAAGTGTGAATAAGCAGCATCGGTGCTTTTCTTCGGAATGAGATTATTCTGGCAATTAACGGTTCAATGGTTTTAGCGACGAGCCGACAATGTACTGATTCTCATTTTCATAAGGGCTTAGTAAGTTGTGAACATTTGTCTACAAAAGTATTATTTTGTATATTTATCAGGGGGTGGGTTGGGGGATGGAGGAAAACAGATAAAACGACTTAATTATACAAAGAAGCATGTTTCCTTGTCCAGTTATCAGACAGGTATGGGGCAAGTCGACCAGTTGTTTGTGTCAAACTTACGACGAACTTCCAACATAACTCATGCCACATTTTTATCATATAGTTGTGAAACATATATGATCCGACAAAGCAGGAAAGAGCGTGGTATTTCAACGCTTTTTGAAGAGGCGGAGGCAACTTTTGAGAGCCCGTACCCTGAAATACTATCCGTCCAGATCCATGATTCAGGGAAAAAAGATCTTGTGGCTTTGACATTATTTGTTCCTTCTGGTGATCTCAGGACAGCTGTTGCCGGTGCTGATGCCGATAACATTATGGGTTGGGGTAAGGAAAAAGTATGGCACACTTTTTCTCCTTCGATTTCTATACAAATAGTTTCTTCTTTTGGCCAAATCGCTAAAATGAATAAACATATACTCTCCACTGCCAATCCAAATATCATTAGTCTTGTAACATGACTTTGGGGTCGGATAGTAATATGTTTTGAAGGCAAAATGGCCGGTGATTTAAGTATTAAAGGGTGAGCTATCCTCGTGCAAAGAGTGAACATTCTTGAGATTTGAGATGATTGACGGATCGAAACATCGAAATGAGAAATATCGTCCGATTGGAGAAGGGGAGATTCACAATTTACATCTTTGTAGTTTTTTTCACTTAGTTCATCGAACAAAACTGACTCAAATATATGGAATGCATTGAGAGGTAAAAGAAAAACCTAAGTATAGAACTTACGAAATATCGAGCCAGCTCAACGTTTAAGATTGGGCGGCTGTTTCCGTTCGCCAGTACGGATATTTTTCGTTTAGGTGAATTTATGTGTTTTCAATTTTAAATGTTATCGGGCTGTTTGCAAACTCTGCATATCTGCATTTACCATACTAATTAATTCAAAGTGTCAAGATTGGATGCTTGGCGATAATGACATTAGAGTTTTGTCGGTATATCGTAGATTTATTTTTGGAGTAATTCTTTCGAGACTTGGATATTTATGTACAAGACGGTGGCGACATGCATGGGCCAGATTTTTGCAATGTAGCAAGCAAAGCTATGGCACAAACATCTCCTAAGATTTTTAGTTTAAAAATTCAAGCAATGCATTTGAGATATGACTTTCTAACCCTATATAACTCTGACTCCATATCCAAGTTTCTGGAAAATAACTTCGGAGTTTTTGCGCCGCAATTTCAGCTTTCAATTTTCTGGTGTAAAATAAGGCCCATGCTTTTGCACCTCCTCTATCCTCCGCGATGGGTTCACCAGCAATTCTCCGAAGTATCCCTCTATTCCCTGATAAAATCGGAATTCCATAACATAATATTTATAAGTTTTCTAAGGCAAGGTTCTGAGCCTTTTCAGAAATTAATTTGTCAGGTTTTATATATGTATATTTCTGCTAGGGTCTTCATTTTAAATTAAATAGTGTTGAACCTTATATAATTGGAAATGCTTTGAAAATTTAACTAACAACTTCCAATACGTGCGAATTATCAAGATGCAAATATGTTTTTCATTAGTTTTCATGACTCAGAGCACCTCAAACCACGAAAATTGCATTCCCAATGATCAATATCTAAAACACCAGTCTCTAACCCTATATATTCATCTGCCCATATCCAGGACTCGGGAAAATAACTGCGGGTCTTCGGCGCGGAACTCTTTGCCTTCGAATACTGCCGTGCCATTGGCGCGGGTTTCGCAAACCCCATCAGGGCTCTCGGCATGGCCATTACCAAATTTCTCGCTCCAAGAGGCCGAAACGGTCGAAAAAAGCTACCAGAATCTGTGAAATATTTGTATGACGTCACCAGGGTTATGACGTCAATTCTGCTTCAAAGAAGCTGATGTGTCAAATTTTTGATTCACACCTCATTAGTTATGGAAATTAATTCGTGGTATTCGGTTATCTGATGACGTAACAAATTTGTGACGTTATCGTGACGAGTTTTCAATAACCATGCTTTATTAAACACTCTGTGGTTAATAAACTTCTTTGCATTCTCGTTATTCCAACCGTAATTTTTTCCTAACCCTATCTCTTCTTCAGCCCAGATCCAACTTTCTGGAAAGTAGCTCCTCGTTTTTGGCGTGGAAGACGATTGCGCCATCTGGCGTCTCAAGGGAGCAGGTTTGGCAGAAAAAGACATGAGTCTGATTGGTCCACCTCCCCCTGCTCCGCCACCGAATCCAATTCCGCCTCCACAAAACGGACAACCAAAATCATCTGATCGTGTGTTATAAGTGTTAGTATCATGACGTAAACGTACCAGATTATACATACTAACTAAAACGGTTACATTTGTATCATTGCATTAAAAGTTTGTGATTTAAGTTCCTGGTAGTACTTTTATCCAAGATATCTGAACTAGTCTGTACATTCCATAACTGACTATACTTGTAAGAGCAAAAGTTCGATCTGATGGTAAGGAAATACAGAGCTATGAAGTCTAAATTTAGCGATCTTTACTGGTAATAGGTTCGCAGCTTCAAATTTGTTATGTTTACAAATTTTAAACCAGACTTCAAGACATAAGATTGAAATTTTTGACAGAAACTTATAAATAGATTCTATAGCCAAAATTTTGCTATTACGGATTAAAACTAATGCAGGAATCTATTCTTTTACCCCATAGTCGGGTCTGAAATTGTTAATTTTAGTTCGTTTTTCAATGTCTCGTAAATAGGAGACAGATTTAACCAATTTCAAACTCCAAAACACTATTACAGAATAGTAACACCTAAACTAAAGCTGACACAATTGACTTAACCTCGTCTAACTTCGCTAAAATTGCACAGATTATCCTACGCCAAGTCACGCCATTGTGAGGGGCCATGACGAAGGATAATCACATTTTTATTGCACCAAACTATAATATCAGTCAAATAGCTTCAAACAAGTTTGTACCAGTCTCTTATGGAGTACACTAACTGATATTATTATTTGATGCAAGAAGCCGCCTTCGCAGTCAAATTCGATTTTAGCAAATTAAAATTTTGAATAAAAAGAGACATTTTCGCATGTGTTTGAATGTCTAGGGCGACTCCCTAATGCGGAACTTTTACATACAATAGTTGAAATTTTCAAATAATTCTATGTCAAGAAATTTTTCGATAAAACCAAATATATAATACTCCTTCCCTTTAAAAACAATTTTTCGAGGCCGGAATTTAAAAGTTCGTGTACCCGTTTTGACGCGAAAGTGTAATTTGTGGCGAATGAATTTGACTGCAAAGGCAAAAAAATAATAAACCAAACTCACAGTCCGGCTTGCTTGAATAGACGAGAGCATCGGTAAGAACAAGGATTCCGGAGTTCTGGAATAAAATAAAACAGCAATTTAGATAGATGAAAATAATGTCTCACAAAAATACTGACACTGCACTCCCATGGAGTCGGACACGGTTCTGCCAACTTTGAAAACTGATTTTAGTGCACTGTTTTTTTAGGGCTCAAAACCATTATACAAAGCTTATACAAAAATGGAGTGGTGATATTTTACGTAAAAGTTGACAATTGTAAATGGTAACACAAGTATTTTAACTGAAGAATATTTATTATTTTGCTGGTTGGAAAAAATAAAAATAAAAAATGACTATGACTACAAAGATTAAGTAATAGAGAATGAAGATTACTAAGAAATCTGTTTGTTTCAATTGAGTTTCGTAACTGGAAGAGAATACCAAACAGATGAACGCGCAAATTTTGATATTCTAAGCGCATGGAATTCTATTACTGACGGAACGTGTGGATTCATGTCTAAAACATTTTTGATAAATTTCTAATTACACGAATGTAGTTTTAAATGCAGAATTGGAAGACTGTTTTTGCCCAGGCCTTGGTCGGAGCGATAGGTCCAAATGAGCGCCACATAAAAAAATGATTGATTAGTCGTAGGGAGATACTTACATCAAATACTTCACTAACATCAGCACCTCCTATGGGGTATGGCCACCACCATCTGCCCCATCCGCCGCCCCATCCAATGGAACCGCTTGAAGCTCCATATTTATCCAAGTCTTGGAAAATCTAAAAGAAAGAACAAGTTTGTATATTTGTGTATCTGGGGTTACATTGGGTCGGGGTCTTTCTTCAACGCATACGTTAGATTAGGTCCAGTGATGGGATTCAGTCAGTTCGCATCGATTCTATAGAACCGTCTCACTGAATTTCATGAGATCAGCGAACCTTTTAGCATTACTAGTTACTGTCAATGTTCTGTTTGTAACAGAACCGGCTGAAAAATATAACTTTTGTGAAGGAACCGGCTGACAAAAAATTTGAATCCCACCACTGATTAGGTCCCCTCTCTTTCGTACAGAACCTTATCAAGGTGCTGAAACACCCCCATGTAGAAGATAAAAGTTTCTTACCTTGTCTTTGGTGATATCGTTGCCAGATTTGAGCAGTAAAACACTTTGATCAATTGCTCTCAGACCTACGAAAGATCCTGCTGCTGCGTTAACTGTAATACTAACTGGCATCCCTGCGTCGGTTTTAGCAGTACTTGTTGTCATGGTAACCTGAATTAAAAATATTAGTATTTTGAGACTGTCAGTGCTTGGCCTGGTTATTTTTGTCATCTGTCCTAAAGAGCGGGGACACTATTCTCAAACACTTCATGTGAGAAATTGAGTGTGCAATGCCGAAACGTAAAGTTGGCTGTGTAGAGTCTTTTTCAGAACGAAATGCGTATAATCGTCGTATAAAAGTTAACGGTTAAATTCATTTTTTTGAGGTAGGACCTTGTCCTTATGTTCTTTTACAACTTTGAAAAACCTTTTTAATTGTTATTAACGCAACGCAAGTTGTACGTCGGACCGAGGCTTTTTTTGCTGAAATCGAATCTCTCTGGTGGGTTTTCTAGTTCAAGTCAGGTCATTTCTATTGCATAGTTTTTTGAATATATTCGCTCATAGCAAGGTCACTACGGGCGACCACTAAAACGCTAAAGAGCTAGGGAAAAGGTAACTAGAGTCTAACTTCAGCCTATTCCTACCTTGTTTTCGAGAGTAGCTTGGACTGTAATTTTCACGCTGTCGGCAACAATTTCACCGTCGGAACGAATGAATGATACAATGACGTAAACATTTGGTGACATATCTTTGGTGACGTCAAACATGTAACTGAATTTAGAACTGTCGGTTTCTTTCACGTATTCTGCTGGAGTGTAAAGCTCTTGCTTGAGCAGTTTTCCTCTGGCTAGGATCTGTTATATCAATAGAAAAATGTTTCATCATTAAACGTGGGCATTTAAATGTTCACATGCTCAAAATACAAGTGTTCCCGTGGTTTGAAATAAAACAGCAAAATTGATGAGAAATAACGGGTGCCACAGGAACGCAACAAACATAATATGGTATTTCCGAAGATGTGAACCAAGATGGCGGATACCGGAACGTACTATGTATACCAGGTTGGGGTTAAGCCATAATTTCAGGTACAAATACTACGGGAGTGACTTGGCTAGTCCTCGAACTCGTAATAGAACTGAAATAAGGAAAATTGAAATGAAATTTTGGTCTAACCCTAGCAATGGCAACGAAAAAAAAAAGATTGAAAAACACTCAATCCTAGAGCAATCAACAATTCTTTATTTTTACCGTAAATCTATAACTGTCCGCCTCTTCTGTGGTGTAAATAGTCAAGCTGGCTTTGTCGCCTACGGTCAATGTAGTATCATCAGTAGAAACTTGGATGAATGTATTTGACGGCGATTTGAACGGGTCCGCTCCCCAACTTGTCCAGTATTCGTCTTTGTTTGGGTAAGAGAGGATTTTGACCTGAAAGCAAAGTTTGTTGTGTGAACTGTTTTGTTGAAATGACTAGGGCTGGGCATTTAGAATCGAATATTCAAATCGAATCGATTAGTAAATTATTCGAATTGGTTCAGAGCAAAATTTCGAATCGCCACCATCTTGATTTTTCTTTCCGCCAATGGTCCAGGTAAATTTCTAAATTTTTTTCTATTAAAGCCATATTTTTTCAACGCAATTCTGATATATCCCTCTTTTCTGTAGTGAGTTTTTATGAAAAAGTTTTCTTTTTTATTGTGTGTGAACGCTCAGCAATCTGCCTGAGTGATGTATTCTATGTTTTCAGTAATTTATGTTTCCGCAGGATCTAATACAATAAGAAAATTTATATCTCCCGAGTGTTCGAGATTCGATTCGAAAAAAATATTCGATTCAATTCTGAAATCATCACATATTCGAAAATACCCAGTCCTAGAAATGACACCATTTATAGCCTCTCAGAAATGAATAGTTGGAAGTATGCCTGGGCATTTTTGATAACCTGATGATTTTAGAATAAAATCAAATATTTTTTTCAAATCGAGATATGCAAATTAATAAAACTATGTAATTGTATCGATTGGGTTATTATGAGAATAACTATTTATCCTTCTTTTATGCTTTTGTGCCGGTGGATCTGTATGGATATAATGCAAGAGTGTTGTAGCAAGATTGGATATAACTATCCTAAGTGATTCAAGAGTCATGCTGCACACAACACGAATATATTTCTGTAACGTTTCGTCTGACTTTGATGGTGCAAATCTGCGCTAAAGACTATATAATAGCATTTTCCTTTCTGATATTACTCAGTCTAGTCTTGTCGTGGGTCTTCTCTATGACGTGATTGTGACGTCGTAATGACGTAATTTTTGGATGGAATAGTCAGGTGGGGGTTAGGATATACATGTACAAAAATCGTTATGCTACGCCCACTAGAAGTATTTAAGGTGCCAAATTAGAGGAGACTTATAAATTTAAACCCACCTGGAAGTTTACACGTTGGAAGTCGCTCGCATCGGCTGTGATCTTGAACATAGCAATCCCGTCCTTTCCTACTTGTAAAGGAACCGACATTTTTTTCGGTTCTCGTCTTCCATCTGAATTTCCTCCGAATGGTCGCCAGTTCCATCGATAACTGTGATCATGAATTAGAAATGTTTAGAGTATGTATCAGGGGTGGGCACGGTCTTTGAATGCGAGCCGAAAATTTTGCCCACTTAAATTGGCGGGTCATGTAAGTATGACGTAAAGGGATGCATAATATGAACAATGTTTACAGTGTTACAAATACCACTGTGAAAATCAGTAAACTTCGTACCTAAACTTAATTTAACCGCAATATCAACAAATTCCTTTAGCTATTTTTAACTAAAACTTCAAAAGTTGGTTTCAGTTTGGTTGTGGCAGCATCAGGCGGGCCAGATTGAATACCTAGCGGGTCGGATTTGGCCAGCGGGTCGTATTGAGCCATGTTTGGTATATATTGTTTTTATATTAACTTGAAGTGAGTGGATTATCTCACATCGTTTTTGGAACGTTGCGGTAGTCAGTGAACCCGTTTTTTGGTACTTCCGAAGTATGTGAACCAAGTTGACGGAGACCGGAACGTAGTATGTGTACCAGGTTAGGGTTAGGCCATAATTTCAGGTCCAAAAAATACTACGGAAGTCACTTGGCTAGTCCCCGAACTTGTAATAGAACTAAAATAAGGAAAATTGGGATGGAATTATGCCCTAACCCCAACCTGGTACACACACAACAGGCGTACCCACAAATTAAGTTGACTTACGTATATTCAACATTAATAATCATATCCAGGTCCTCTCTGTCATCTTCAGAAAGTAGAGTTCCATCTTGTTCTGATACTTTTAACTAAAAATGAAAAAAAGACTTGAAGCTCCTGATTTGATGTTTATTTGACGTCATCTTTACGTTTGTTTGACGTCAGCGCCACGCGAACACCCCTAGATCAGGGTTTCTCAATTCTTATTATCTATATATATCCTTAGGCATCGATAGAATTTAAGATGAATGAAGTTGAAACCCCCAGCTATCGGCGCTTTTGCCAAGATAATGAAAATAAAAAACAACTCACGTATGCCACGTATGGAAGTCCAGCTTTGATGAATTCAGGTTTTGCAATCGCCTCGACTTTCATTCGCTTACTGTGAAGGTCAACAGACGTTGTAGCTGTTTAATGATAATAGTAATATAAATTACAAGCTTTTCCTACTTCACCCAAAGCAACGCTTCACACAAGAAATAGTCTATAGGCCAGTGGTGTGCAACAGACGGCCCACGGCTCAAAATTCGGCCCATCAAGCCCTTAAGTGTGGCCTTTTCAACACTCAAATTTTTTCCATCAAGCATATTTTCCTTATCCGACTGTTTATATTCAATAAGGCGCTCAAGTGGGTAGAAAAACATTTTTTGCCCTTCTCACTGCGTTAAATCGTTTGTTGTTTTGCATTCATTACTGTAAGACTAAACAATAGCTACATTATCTTGAGTGGCCAGCCCATGTCTGAAGTTGATTATATGACCCACCAACAATAAATGTCGCACACCCCTAGCATAGGCCAACGTTTAAGGCTGCAAAGTCGGGGTTTGGCGCGCTTCTGGTGATATTGGTCGAAGGCATCATTTCAAACACTCCGAAGCCAAAGTCCGACTTCTTAATTCTTTGGAGTTGATATTTTGGACAAAAACTTAAAAAGCTTCGACTGAATATTCTCAACAGGCGATTAGAGAAAACTTGCATACGCAAAATCTTTTGTTATGCTATTTTTCAGTTTTTAGTTGTGTTTCTGAAATTTATGTACAAATCAAATAATTCAATGGTCTTTCTGTCTTCTCATAAGCTTATTATACCAGTACTTGCCAAGTGGTTAACTATTATAAATTAAAATGCTGGTAATGAGAGTGTAACTAGTTTGGGTCGAACTCATGAAAACACTCATTAATATGCATCAGAAACTTCGTAATAGCAAAGTACAGGAAGATATTTTCCTGGAGTCAAGGGTCATGGAAATGCAGTCAATAATATATACTCACCATTGAATTCGTCTCCTGTATTTTTGTCTTTGACGAACGCGGTTATTTTGAGCGGACTCGAACTATATTTGGGATTCCATTTCAAGATTTTCTCAATATCAGATGCATTGACGGAGAATGGAGCTGTTCCGTCGAAATCCTGCGAAATAGGAATATTGTTACTTGAAAATAATATATGGTGAAATTCTTCGATTTTAAAAAATAAATGAATTGCCCTATCTATAGCATCATCTTGAGGTCATGCTGTTCTCGTCACAAAAATGTTTAATCAGAATGCGATGACTTGGACAAATTTTATCTTTAAGTCTTATTCATACAACAATTGCAAGATAGTTCTCAACCTCAACAATTATGCCGAATAGTCATTTGATCTGATTGTTATGGATTGGGTTTTAAAAAAGAGAATAAAAAAATCCACACGAGAAAATTCAATGTTTCTTACCGCAAATTTCTCCAGAATCATGTTCGGTTTTTGTCCGCGTGGTACCCATCTATCAATTGTGAATTCAATTCTGCCGCTTCCTTTCACTGGTTGTCCAAAGGTGAACCTGTGAATAAGCACACGCTTTCTTAAATAGGTACGTTTGGTACAGAATAACTTAGGAATTTTCGAATTAAATAATCCAATTTAGCGATCGACACCCAAGTATTCAACCATCGCGTATGTATGTCATAACCTGGGTCAAGTCGTCTTTCTAGAGACGAATCATCTTTAAATCGAAAATTGTCTTGAGCTGAGACGACCAGTCATTCAAGGTACTACTACATCATTGTAATGCAGTCTTTTTCAATGTTTTTGGTTGAACCCCAATAAAACATTCGAGAGGCTTGTGGAAGCTCAGTGCACCCTTGGAATCCCGGAAGTGTGCATTAAATTATGAGGATGAATGAAACAAATCAAAAGTCTTGACAAAACAATGATATTTAAAGTGTAGAAAGCTTAATAGTAGTGGCCTGATAGGTATTTAATTATATTTAAATACACAAAATGGTAGACTTTCAAATTTGAATCCGAGGATTGCCGGTTCAAACCAATATATGCCATAACTCAAAACCCTGCTAATATAATAGCCGAATTCAAGTAGCATTTTTCGAGTCGCGTCATGTTTAAATTTAAAATTGACTTCAAACGAGACATATCAACTGTAATTTAAATTCAATTTTGAAAAACTTTACTTACAAAGCTTCAACCTCTCCGGTAAGTTTCATGGATCCAGGGTGCAAGAAACTCTGATCAGTTTTAATTTCAACTTTGAACTTTGGCAGTTTGTATTCTTCTACTGATACTGTGATGCTCTCTTCATACCCCTGAACATAAAATAGTCAATTTTAGTGAGGTTGGGCACATGTGTCCCGCAGCATCATTATCTGTGGCCCGCGTTCTATTTGGTGTTGTTTCGTCATAAAAAAAACACAGAAAAATTAACTTGAGACATTGTTCCATCACTAATGTCATTGTTGACGAGAGTTATAACTAGCTGAGACGACCAGCGAATACGAAGAGAGTGCTCGGCTATCCTGTATTGTTGACTAGCTTTTTATCATTTCAGTCGGTAATATCCGTTAAAGCAAATAGCTTATTGTTCATACAGTCGGGGCGTCATGCTAAGCGCCAATCATTGCATACAACTTAAAAATGCGCCAGGAGAAACTCACGGAAGCGCTAATATCATAGAGAATTCTACAAATTGCTTGTCCGGTCATGATTTAAAACTTTATCACGAGGCAGTCAGAAGAAAATCGCGTTAGCACTAATATATTATAGTATTTCTTATTTAAAATCTTCCGAATTGCTTGAGGCCCTTCTTGTCTCAAATTCAGCCAAGTATTCTTAGCTTTGCGAAAACAAAACTCTCAAAAGCATTACGAAAATATGTTTTTATTAAAATTTAGTTGTAAATAAATATCGTTCCCGAGCTTATAGTTTAACATTAAAACAGGCTTATACTCCGATTGCAAAATTATTTTTGAATTCCAAAGCCCGATTATATTTCCAAGAAGCATATTGCATGATATACGATACCACTTTGCGTTGAACTACAATCGCTTAGAGTAGAATAAGTACGGACCTCTAGATGTATGGCCAAGATGGCGCACAACCTGAACATAGTATGTGTGTACTGGTAAAGATTCAGGTTGTGCGACATCTTGGTGCGCATACTTCTGGAGCACTATAAGTACTTTCGAGTGCGCGAGTAAAGCCACGTATTATATTTGTTTTCGAAATCTCTCTTCGGGACCCTTTTTAAGAAATATGATGCCTATAGAATAAATCGTGGCACTTCAAGTTATAAACTACAGTTTTCGTGATACATATGACGTCACCAATGTGACGTAATATACCTCTTGACTTATAAAACGTGATTTGATGTGTTTACGCAAATTGTAAGGACGTCGTGATTTTACTAAAATTTTGAGAATGATAAATAGGCATCTTGAGTGGTTTAGGGATACGTCGAGTGCTTTTGAGTGGATGCGCATATTGAGAAATTGTTCGCTGAATAAGCTGAAGCTCTGAAGCCTGGCTTCAGAGCAAACCATCGCTTGTACACAGAACGAATTATAAATGTATGGATTACTCGATTTGTTGTGAAGACTCAAAACATTTTAGAATTTTGTTCATCGCAAATTACCGGCGAATTTAAATAGTCGCTGTCAAAATTCTATAACATTTTAACATTTTGGTCATCGCATTCAAAATACAGTGTAACCCAAAAATCAGAACCCCATTCATTTAAAACATGTTCTAACGAAAACTTTCGTCCCATAAAATCACATGATTATATCCATCACTTTTTGTGGCACAAATTAAAGCCAGAAATCCTGAGTGACAAGACGGGTTTTCAAAACCGCTCGAGTCAAAACTAAGATTACAATATTAACGATTCAATGTTGCGATTCCTGGAAAAACCTTTCCGAGGTAAACACGATAAACTATCATTGTACTCATTTGACGCAAGATTCAAGTTCTATACCAACAGGTTTTAATCTTCATTTACCGCATATTAGCCGCCAGCGTTTAATTATTATTAGAGGTTTGCACAAACTTCAAAACGCCGCATGAACATATAAACAGACAACAGATAATGAAATAAAAATTGCTATTATTCAGACTTGGGAGACAACAACTTATTTTATATCTCCGTTTCAGTTCGTGATCTTACAAATTTAAATTAACGAAAATATTCAAAAGATTTCATTTATTAAATTGCGATGAATAAATAATTTTCAGTTTAATATCAACGTATTATGACATACTCCGGCGCTCCAGAAGTAAGTGTACCAATATGGAGGTAACTAATTTTGTTCACCAAATTTACATCAAGTTGTGTAAAGAGACTGAAATCTGTGAGCAGGAGGTATATTAACTTGGCTAACACAGAGCGTGTCCGCATTCGTAAATAAAACTAAAAAAAGGATAGTCGGAATAAAATTATGGCCTAACCATAACCTGGTACACATACTACGGAAGTATCCATACATCACGTGTTTGCCTCAACTTTGATCTTGCAATGCAAATTTAGACATTGTTCCCTACATTGAAGTCAATTTCTTTGTTTCTGAATCTGGGGTATCAAAATTTTTGCCGTGTTGTAACGTTGACAATTGGCAAGTTTTTTTTCAGTTCCCGCTGAGAGTCCACCTTATGTCACTTTACTTAGATATTACATTTATTTGAATTTTCAGGAAAATCGCAGTTTTGAGTTTTAAGGTTGGAATACAGCGACAATGACAATTTTGAATTATTTAATCTCAAATCAAGTCCGTCTAGCTCACTGGTTCTCAACCAATAGGCCATGGCCCACTGCTGGGCCACGGGAACACTTTTAGGTGGCCACAGACGTATTAAAATTGTTAGAGTTGTTGATAATGAAAAAGTTAGCGGGCCACAAAATTTTCCTTTTTTTTTTCTTCTGAATAACTGCGAACAATCGCCCGCAATTCTGCGTTGTCATTGTCTGAGATGAATCTAACGACAAATCGCCCGAAGGCAGCGTTTTTTTTTATTTTTCACATCAGACGACTCGTCTAAGTGATGGGTAAACAACCACAAGGTATCGATAATACAGATTACTGGAGATTAAAAAGATTAAATTTACCATATGATAAGCGAAGAAAAAATCGCTGAATTATACAAACTAAATATTCGATATTATAGCTTTTACTTTGGATAAAAATAACGTTTTATTCTTAGTTGAGATATGAGATTTTTATAAAGTGTTTACTGTTAAAATGCTACTGGTCTTTTTATAAGATGATTTGCCCAAAGCATTTTCTAAGAAATATATGAAGCTGATCTCTAAGCAAAGTCACAGGCGACCACTACCTGACGAGAGTTACGAGGCGCAGTTCCTACCGCTTCATGGCGGCTCCTGCCACGAACGAACCGCACCGTCTCTTCCCATTATTTTATGACGGTAGCGCCGGTATATTAACAAAGTCGTGTGCCTGATTTTAGTTTATCATGCGGAATTATATCTACTTAAACCTGAAACCTAACCCCAAATCCATCAAAACTGGATCTATTCATAAGGAAAATGTTACAACTCATCAAAAGTTTGTCACCATCAGGGGCAGCCCCGCCATTACAGCCTACATGTTTGGGTTTGTGGCAGCACAATTTTACGCACCATGGTTTTCAATATGCTGCCGTGTTAACCTGCCTCACGCCATTGGTTTGTGGCAGTAGTAAGGGAAAATGAATTCGTTCTATATAGTATTTTAATGCCTACAGTACAAAATTAAGTCTTTCGAGTCGGTGGTCTTGAACCAGACTTGGTGAGATAGTTAGTATTCCGTGAGCTGTACCCTACGCCTACACCACTGTACAATTGTAAAATCAACTCACGTAAACTTTATAGGTAATTCTCCAATCACCAAGTGTTGCGTATCTTCCCAGTTTGAACTCTGAACCCGCAACTCCGTTACTCAATGCGACGTCACTTTCCATCAAAATAACATTGTTCATCGGATCGGCGAGTTTGTATGTCACAGTCGGAGTTGTACCGTCGGCGTTCATAAGTGGAGTGAGGTCGGGTGTGGTGACGACTCCACGGAATTTGACTATAATAGACGAAAAATACGTAAATGGATGAAGGAATATTGCCGTATAGAGCTGTCAAAGTCTAGACTAGATCAAGAGTAGGCAAGGTTTTTGGACCCGTGGCCAAACATTTTGCCCACCTAGACTGGCGGGTCATGTAAGTGTGACGTAAAAAAATTAAATTTTATGAACAATATTTACAGTGTTACAAAAACAAAAGTGGAACACAATAAACCTCATGCCAAAACTGAATTTGATAGCAATATCAACAAATTCCTTGAAGTATTTTTTTTAACTAAAACATCAAAATTTAGTTTGGTCGTGGCAGCACCAGGCGGGCCAGATTAAATCAAGCAACGGGCCGAATAGTATGCTCATGTCAGATTCTAGATCATAGGAAAAGTCCATGCATATGAAACGAATAACTGGTCAACTGTTCCCCAATCCGGCACGGACTGGTAAACTGATGAGAGGACATGGTAAGCCATTGTATTAATAAGCCGAATTGTTGACTTTTCTCTCCTTCGAATAAGTTTAAAAATCCTATTTAACGTAATCCATCGACAGAACCCAGTGTGAACCAAACTAGATAGGTCGGTGTTTTGAAGCATTACAAAATTAACGTTAGAGATTTATATCTCGAATTCAAGTGAGGTATAATCATGTGTGAGACGATTGCTGGACTTTTTAACGGTGGTTCTCGTAACCCTTGTATTTGTGTCGATGGAAAAACTAACTTCCCGATATTTCTGCAAGTCATTCCCGATCATTTTGCAACAGAACGACAGTTCGCCATATAATTCAAACCATAGTCTATTTTCATCATCTTCCCGTTTGATATAAATAATGTGTACCGTATACTATGACCCCTGTACTCTCAATTTAGGCAAAAATTTAAAAAAAAATCAGCATGAATGTTAAGATTACTTGTATGTCCTGGTTGATAAATAGCTTTATCAGTTTGAATGAAAATAGAAACAAATTTCTTCTGGAAGCTGATATCGTTCTTCTTAGTTTTGTTTTGGAACAAGGTTTCACCAGTAACTGTGTCTTCACCATGGATCGAAAAATAGAAATCTGTAGGTCCGTCATAGTCAGCGGGAACCTGAATATAACATAATGGCTTTAAGATGGACGGGCATGGCATCGTAGTACACTGAAACCGCTATATATATCGACTCAGAATCGGTCACTTTGTTGTTTTATGTCGGTTAAAGCATTTTATTTGCATCTTAATATTATCTCAAATCGAGTTTCCGAATACGTGTGTGATGAATAATCCATATACGAAGCATTAAAATATATCTTTGCAAAAATAATGACTTTCGGAAATAGAACTGCGTTTAAGGATTCAGCTTACCGGTTGTATGACAACTCTTTGGCTTGAACCTGAAAACGCAATGATACAAATAGTTTAGATGTGTGTAATTCCGTGTTATTCATTAGTAATTGATTACTTTACAAACAAATAAATACAAGTTTATTTCTAGTGATGTTGTATACGATCACTCCAACTAAGACCATCTAACCATATCCCTAACTCTACCAAATAATTAGTCCAGGTTAAATGAAATATCAATTGATATTATATAGGCTTAGGTGGGTTGGGGGAAGGGGATATTCTTCAGTTGTGAAACGGGATCAACTGAAGAATCTCCATCCCAACTAAGACCAACTGCGACATGCGACAGACTGTTGCTGTTTGAGTCATCAAGCAAACTACCAAAAAGGCCGGGAATGTGAAAGAAACCAAGGCAGCAGCTGAGGTCAATAAAAAAACAGGAGCAAAGAAGTGACTGGAAGCATCTGGCGCCCATCAACAGCCTCAAAAAAAGTTCATCCGTTGTGTATAGCGTGAATATCACTCACCGCTGTTGATGACCGTTATCTGCGATACGTCGAAAGTAGAATCCTCAGAAACTAAAGTGGCGGTTACTCGTACGGGATTTTCGCTCTTGATTATCTCAACGTCGAAGGCAAATGGTGTCATTGGTCGAACATATTTAGGCAGGAAAATGGAGTAGGTACTGAGGAAATAAAAATTGAATTGTTAAATTATAGTAGCATAGAAAAGGCCTTGCAATCCAACCGGCTTTAGGCCTCTGCAACTTATGCGGTCGCAGTGGTCCCCACACTGCCATAGTTCCCGCGCTTGGCCATTCCTGCTATTTCTTGTAATAAATAGTAAATGTGTGTATATTTTTTTGCAATAGTGTGGATCTTGTAGTATAAATTTTATTATCAGGCGTCGAGAGCAAATCAAATATTTTCAAAAGTCAGATGAACTTGTCGAGATGCCGATTACGGCAACACCTGGAACATGGGTGGGTGAGGATTTCGTACCAGCATCAGGCCGGCCAGATTGAATTACCCAGCGGGCCGGATTCGGCCCGCGGGCCGTAGTTTGCCCATGTCAGTTCCTGAACATCGATAATTTAGTAAAGTGAAAAGAGCAACTTACTTCTCTCCTACTGCCGCATGTGTTGCAATCAACAGCAACGACAAGGTTGCCAGTAATTTCATCTTAGACTGTTTAATTCTGAAAAAATAAATTAAAATCGGTTAATAGAGTAACATATATATTTTATTCGAATTCTGTGCAGAATATATTTATGATATAATATGAACCACAATTCTGCCCGTCACGCTAAAGTGATTTACGCATTCATATTTATTAAACCACATTTGTACTAATAGAATATTCCGTGAACAAATACAAAATAACGAAAAACATTACCCTACACTATTCGACGTAGTACTCAAAACCCAGTAAAGATTACTATATGCTAGCATTTTCTTTCAACATTCGAGTGTGTTTATTTATTCTTAATATTTGTATTCAAGTCCTTCAATTGCTATCTACGCTTAGATGAGGATTTGCGATATTCAAGCGTACATAGAAAAGAATTTTTCCTACGAATTGTTGATTCTTTAGTTCTGTAGATATTTACAAAATATATTCTTGCAACCAGTACAAACTTTTATTGGTTGCTGACATGCGTACTAATACCATGTGGTACTATATAAAATGACGTTTAATATCAGACCGTTCTTATTATCTCAGAAGGATTTTTAATTAACGCTAACAACACTTTTTCTCCCCGATTTAGAATCAAATTTCCCCGGGTTAGCCTTTCGATATAGAGCCCGCCCACTCGTTGTTAAGTTGTAAACAACTTATAAGTTTACACCTAACTCCTTTGATTTGTATTTTCGGAAATACCTCGGCAACGTTTCCTAGCACTTTCTTTTATATATCAAATGTGGGCATTCGATTAATTAAGTGACTTTTGCTCTGAAAAATTTAACGCCTATAATATTCGATAAACTTGGTAATTTTTAAAAAAAATTCGCTCAGGGCGAGATCACTTGCCCCCACTCAGACTGTAATGAAACTAGTCTCAGAACAAATCTACGCATATATATATAACTCGAACCCTATTAAATAGCAAAACTTTGTTGAAGTAAAACATGATATTTGTGTATAATTAAACTTGGTTTGAATCTTTTGAACAAAACCTCCGACACTACTGCAAACATGCGAGATTTGAAAAAAAACGGCAGGCATGGGTTTCAGCAGGCATGGGTTTTAGCAGGCATTTAGGTGATCGGCAATACGTAACTCCGCTCTTTTGCTCCGAGTAAACGAGACCTCGCCTGCACTGTCTACCTATTTCACATTTTCACTTCTGTCGCCAAATCCTGTCTGCCCCTTTCTGACTTTATCTGACAATCTTGTTTGTTTATTTTCTGTGTTATTAGTTGTCGTCGATAACTACTAAGTGTCATTTGAGTCGGTAATTGCTGCTTTAGGTTTTATTGCCTCATTACATTGGACACGCGAAAATTAATTTGCCGCTGAGTGGAGTTCGCAAATGAGACTTTTATTTTAGTACTTTCCATTACTGTAATTACGCTATTTACGACCGCCAAGACAATAATGCGGGACATTTCCAACTACGCTAGGAGTAAACCTACTGCCTATCTTTATAGCTCTCTACAGAGGGTGAAATTTAAATGACAATTGGGAAAATATTTCCATCTCTATTCCTAACTTGGTGCCTATATGGCTGCCCGATAGCCCTTTACAAAGTAGGATGATCAAGTCCATGCTTCCGAAAACGAATAACGTACTAACTCATCGCGTACCCGACATGAACTGGTAACCTGGCGAGAGGCCGTGGTTCGTCATATGATTAAGCCGTCTTATCGGCTTTCTTCTCCCGGGATCAATATGTAAATCCTATGTAAGCGGCGATCATGTAAACAATCTTATTCCAAGTCTCATAATCGTCTACACAAGACTCTACAAGACTCAAATAGCGATTTCGACGATATATCCATCGCTATTGCTAACCTTCTGTATATATAGTATGACAGCCCCATAATCGTCCATGTTTAGGCCATTCATTACCAATCGCGATCATATATATTTACCATAGATTTAAAACTTTTCGCCGGGGAAAGAAAGCTGGTTTGAAAGCTTAAGCACGTGGAGAAACTCGGTCCTATGAATATAGATTGATTACTCTGTCGGTGTTTTATTTTTTTTAGTTGTTTCACTCGAGGAGTTATTTTAAAAAAGTATAAGATAAATAATGTACAGAATAAATATAAGTCCAACTCCATTTTACATTCATAATCTTATTATTAAATTTAAAATTTCAGCATTTTTACAGCTTGTCGAATATTTCAAAAATATATCAAATTCTATCATGAAATCTGGAACTTTTTAATCTGAATTCTATAGTAGAACCATCGTGTGTTTCATTGCAAACGAAATTTGGTAACTCCCGTTCCGTAAATATTAAAAAAAGATTCTTACCTTACAAGTTGTGTAGTCTCCCACTCTCTCTCTCTTACTTTTTCAGCAAGAGAACTAACAACCAGCTTACGAATCTTGAATTTATATAACGCTGATCGACTCTGCCCTTGGGGCTGAGATGGAAAAAAGCTTCGACGCGACGAGAGGTAAAGAGCGCAATCGCGAGTACGGTTTCTGCGTACAAAAAAATGCAAACCGTTGAATTTGAAATAGATTAATTTAGATATGCACGCAACAAATTGGAAAACAAAAATGTAAAAAGATTTCATATAGTAACTTTGTATCACTTGTTATCTGTCCAGAGCTTTTCTCACAGCGATGTGGGCAAAGAAATGAAATAAACAATTTAATGTAAAAGACCTTTGCATCTTAATTAAATAGAAAAAGTCGATGGGTTAATTATTATATTGTGAGAACCCATTTCTAAAAAACGATTTTTATTTCTAATTTCAAGTATATAATAACAGACCTACCCAATGGCGTGCTATAGAGGCAATTCACAATCAATAATAAAATTGAATCTCCTAAGATAGAAAACAGATATTAAGATCACAGATTATGCGTAATAAATAGCGTTCACGCTACAAATGAAAGCGAATGCCGCAAAATATGTCGCAATTCAAAAAGTCGTGCAGAACATAATTTCGAAAATAAGATTTACTGACTTTTGTCAAAATATCTCACGTTTTTACGAAGCTTATATTAATATCACTGGCCAAGCTTGGTCGATACATGTATTTCGTTAGCGTAAATTTCATTTATACTGTAAGAAAGAAGTGTCATATTAACTGATATTGCAATGTAATGTTTTATAATTACTTGTTTGAGTTTTCAATTCACCAATATTTCAAGTAGCAAAACTAATACGTAGAACACCACTTCAGGATACCTTTTCAAGACAGCTTTGAAATAGCGATAAATATGAGATCCCAATTGCTATTTGAATACACCTCTGTACTGGACTATTTTATTAGAAGCTAATTAATATACTTTTCGGAGTCGGGGTGGATAAATGGTCCCTATAGACATTTATACGGTTATTGGGCTAATATTTAGATATCTGGTTTGTACTACAGGCAGATATTTGTTCATAATTATCATAATATTAGCTTCCCAAGTAATTTGCTCCATAGACAGTAGGACTCACATATGGTGGCTATTTGCTTCGCCTTCGTCGTAAAAGACTATTGGGCTAACAGATAAACAATTAGGACGGTCCCAATCGTCATTTAGCCTCTGCTGCAGAGGGATATTTGGCTGTTCACATGAGTATTCATCTGGTGTGGACCTGGCGTGGGCAAGGTTTTTGGACCTGGGTCCAGAAATTTTGCCCATCTAGACTGGCGGCCCATGTAAGTGTGACGTAAAAAGTTACATTTTATGAACAATATTTACAGTGTTACAAAAGCAAAAGTGGAAAACAATAGGCCTTGTGCCAAACCTAATTTAATTGCAATCTCAACAAATTCATGAGCTATTTCCAGCTAAAACATCAAAATTTGGTTTTAGGTTGGTTGTGGTGGCTTCAGGCAGGACAGACTGAATTACTCAACGTGCCGGATTTGGCCCGTCGGCCCTAGTTTGCCCATGTAAGATATAGAGACTAGGACAAATTTCATGGTAGCTGCAAAAATACAAGATGTTGTATAATGTGATAAGATGTATAAATGAATTTAATATTTATTGACCTTCAATTCTTCAAGTCCGAGTTATCTATCGCCCACTTTATGATTAAGTTTCATTTAAACGTCGCTCAGCAGATCACGACAAAAATCCCGCGATATTTCGCAATCTTGATGTGATTGTTGCAAACTGGCACACATATATTTCTGCAATGAAACCCAACAGTTTTTTAAAGAATTTGTTAAAAGAAGCTCACGCACACTCGATCAAAAATAAATGAGCCGTGTCTCTGAGCAAAGTATCGTTAGTTCATGTTTTCAGAGTCTAAGATAAAGGACATTAGAGTAAAAATTAAATACAACACAAAATCTATACGACATATCACGTAAATCTAGTGTCTTAATACTCTTAATTACATGGAGACGACCCAAAGATTTCCCAAATATGGCGACTCATATATTTGGGACACATTCTAGAGAAAACATAACTTTTTTGCAAATCGTCCTAGATTACTAAAACCTATTAACGCAATCATACGCAAACAGAAGTTTAAATGTAGAGATTTTTATGAGTTAAACACAATTTAATAATTCATTACTCCCTTTTTGTAAAAGTAATAAGGAAATCTATAGATTCTATCCTGTATATTCATGCCCGTTGGGTTGTTAATATAAAGTTGCTTTATTATAAACTGTTGAAATCGAGTATAAGTGCTGGACATTTTGAACATTGAACAAGAGGGAAAATAAAGACGATCGTAAAGTCTTTATTCAGCTTCAAGAAGTTTGTAAATAACTTTTGAGTGTTTTTCAAAACCTCGTGTTCAACCACTCATTCATTAACTTGTTTGTCCGTAAACTGAAGGAGATTTTTTTCAACGTTTTGACGAATACAACTGACTCATATAGCATAATAAACGTACAATGATAATAATTTTTTTATACGACAACGTTTATCACAGCTAAGCTTTAAAGTTGTTTTTTAAATATACAGCGGTTGTTATTGCTGATATTATTTTGTATTAACAGTCGTGATGCATTTTTTGCAATCGAGCGTTTCACATGGAAAGGGCGAAAATGAAAAAAAAGAGTCTAGGGAAAATGGGGGTTTTCAACACTTGTAATTTGTTTTATTAAAATATCTCGTTGAATATCGCTTCACACTATGATTAGATACCTTCTGAAAGAGCATATATTGCATATTTTGTAATAAACGTTTTTTTTACATTTCAACATTTGTCCTTTTACCTTGAAACCCTAACAAGAAAATCGTTATACTATGCAATATTTTTTAAAGTTAAAACGAATTAGAGTAAGTGTATAGTTATCCCTATCTTGTTGGTGTAAAAGGGTAGTTAAGAAATTCTAAAAAACGTTGAACCGTGCAGCTCTGGAATATCACGTACGATATATAATTGATAAGACTGACATCCTTTTCCTTTAGAACCATCAACATATACTCAAATCACGATTGTATTTGTCATTATTTATCATATTTATATTTAGTTTTTAATTAATTTGTATTCAAATTTTGAAAAAAAAATAATAAAAATTGAGTTTCACTTTTAAATGGCAATGATTTATTGGAGAAAGCGTAAGATTATGGTAAAGTAAAAAACATTTATGCTCATTTCAGAATTCTTTATAAGAAAACGTGAAACAGATCTTATTCATTTGTCACTATTTCCCATTTAGTCTATATGCATTTAAAATCATTTAAATAGGAAACAAAGCCGTTGATAAATTCAACTGTAGTAATTGACCCTGAATAGAGTTTGCAATCGCTGCATTTGATCCTGCGAATGAATTTGCAGTCGTTGCGTCATGGCCACTTTTATAAATTCTATATGTTGCAAATCATTTCACAAACTTGTTAAATGAAGTCGGTTGACCCTTGGCGGTAATCCCCGTTTTTACCAAATAGAGAAACATATATGGCTGACATGGGCACACCACGGCCCGCGGGCCAAATTCAGCCCGTTGGGTAAATCAATCTGGCCCGTCTGATGCTGCCAAACCAAAATAAAAGCAAAAAAATAGCTCAAGGAATCGGTTTGAATTGCGATTAAATATAGTTTTGGCGCGAAGTTTTTGCTTTCCTTTTTGCTTTTGTAACACTATAATTATTGTTTGGAAAATGTAAATTTTTACGTCACACTTACATGGCCCGTTTTGGCCCCTGGTTTAAAAACCTATAGCCCACTCTTGATATAAAGTGACATCCATGCAAAATTGGCGATTTGCGTGAGGCTTTATTGTGTTTGATCAAAGACAGAAACCTGTTCAAAATTCAAGTATAAAGCATCATAAACAGAGCTATCATGTTCGCTATCACTAAAATTCATTCGGAGGTCGGACGAGGTGAAATTTTAATTCAAGATGTTTCTGGTTCTCAGATGATTTTTGTCACGAACTGAAACAAAATTCATCGCGCGACATCTCCATGTGACTGGTGAAATATTCTTTCTAATGATTTCATGAAATATCAAATTAATCAGACTACGTGACAAGCGTGAAGTTGGAGTTCACCAACTTTTTGGATTGATTGGAAATATTTTGGGCGATATTTGAAGCATTATTTTGCATAAATCGATGTTTCATAAACTGACATGATCAATAACTCTCCTCCAAAGTTTCTCAACTCTTGGATAAAAAAAACAAGTTTGTCATTAACGCAGCATACGAATTGAACAAATTTCAGTCAATTCAATTAAAATTAAATTAGTCGAATGAATAAGTAAAGGCTCGTCGCCCTTAAAAACCGCTTCGTGGCCCCTATGTGCATCGAGAGCCCAGTCGTTTGTATTCCAAAAGTAAATTCTTTAAACTAACAGAAAAGCACAATGAAATTCTCGAGTAGTGCTTGTTTTTTCTTTGTTTGGTTTCACTTCTTAATTAATCAATGCATTTCGTGCTTGCTCGAGCAGCATGTGACCATTTCCCTAACGGTTCAAATAAAATTGTCAATTTTTTCATTTCCACGGATCAGGACGACCCATCTGGAATTCATCTCGATGCCTTCATACCCAGACTAAACAGAGAGGCAGACCAATACAAATCGTGAGGAGTGGTTACGGTTTCACTTATTAAATAATTCAATTGCGTTTCGTTTCGTTTTTGCTCGAGCAGAATGTGACCATTTCCCTAACCGTTCAAATAAAATTGTCAATTTTTTCCACGGATCAGGACGACACATCTGGAATCCATCCCGATGCCTTCATACCCAGACTATGTCGACGGAAGTTTTGTGGATCATTTTCTCTCAATAGAGATCACCATTGTGTCTTGTGTGAACCGATATTCACTAATATCTCCGTGTCAAGAATAATCCATAAATTGCAGTTCTTACGAAGTTAGTAGTTGCTTCCGTTTTTTCTACCAATGCTAGTCTGCTTTCAGTTTAGGGATCAGAAACTTGCTTTGAGAAACGTGTGTAAAAAATTGAATGGCGTTCGTGCATTATAGAAGAAACGATGGTTGCGGCAATGCTTAAAGCAAATT